TCCTGTACGTGACTTATGATGAATGCAGATACTCAATTACACTTTTTTCTTTCTTTCTTTTTTTTTTTAACTCAGTTCAGTATTCCTTCTTGCAGTACTTGGAGAGGGCTTGAAGGACTGAGAATGGTAGAAGCCTCACAGACTAGTTTGAAAAATGGTGCTACAAAATGTTAGCATGCAGTAAATGTATCCTAGAAGCCGCATTAGCATTGGCATGCAATAGGATGCAACAGTAGAAAGTGATTGAACCTTAAGAGTTTGGAGCAAGCATGATTGTCCACAAATTTTACGGCTTGTAGTAAGTAAATCGTTTTAAAAAAAATCAGTTAAGTATTGTACAATGTTTTTCAAATGTCACTTTCTTTTTTCTCCTGTGTTATCATAGAAGTAAATCCGAGGCATCTTTATTGTTTAGGTTAAGGCTGATATTTGTTCAGCTTGAGTATCAAAGTAAACTGGGAGATTCTATGAATATGTGGGCTATCTTACTTGGGATATCTGTCTTCAGATACCCTACTTGTGCACGTGGAAGTCATAGACAAGCACTTCTGTTAATGAGTCCGATAGGAATAATCAATGTTGCCCATGTTAGATGACCAAACACTTCGTAACCATTGGAGAAACTCAGTTTTTGGATCCATCCTTGAGATAGATTTCTCTGACCTGGAACAATTCTTGTCAGGTCTACGTCAGAAAGGAAAGTATTTCTATCTGACTCCAACTGGAAGATTGTGGTCATGACATCTAGGGCTCACAATGTCTCTCCTTAACTTGTTCTTTTCCATGGCTTCTTATTTCTAGGCAGATGTGTAAAGCAGATGGACATGTACATGGTTCTGTAGCAAGACAGAGTGATGATCATCTCTGGTCAGATTCAGAGAGGTTTGCTTGGCTAAGGTGATTCTACTACTACTGTCCTTCTGTTTCTCAGAGAGAAGTCCAGAATTCTTTTTCCCTCATGCTCTTTATGGAATAGTTGACAGCCTAGAAGCAACCCTGACTTTTCTTTCTTTCTATCACAGAATGGATAATCTATCCAGCTTTGATTTTTATTGTCCAGCTTGCTTTGATAGTGAATTAATTCTCTACCATGTCAGTGATTTCATTAGTGATTGCTCGTCCATAATTCCTTCATTTTGATGGTTGTACATACTTGACTAAACAGCAATACTGAGATACTTTCAGCAGTCTAAGCAAACCTGAGTTTCTATATATTTAATAACTTTTTTTGTTGTTGCTTAGCTAGACTCATGTGCTAATTTAGCTGCTTAGATCTCCCTCCTGAAGCTTCCCTTTTTCCCCTTCAATAATTTCCTATTTGCTGCTATGAGACTTTGTTTAAATTTGCTAGATGTATGGCTGCCCGTAAGATGCAGCCATCAAATCACAGAACCCAGAAAAAAAAAAATTCGTTAGTGTGCCAGACACAGAAAACATCCACATTACTTTCCCAATCTACATATGTAATTTTTATGGAGGCTCTTTGAAGCATCTAAATCGCCTCCGATATTAAGACAGCTGTTCATTCTGGTAAGATAGTGCTCAGGTTTACATGAATAATTTTCTGATATACTTTAGGAAAGTATAGTTCACTCATGATCTTTGACTTACAGTGATATGCAAAATTAGTGTTAGTTTGTGTCATGTCCCCTTCAGTGATCTATACTGAATGAAACTCCATATTCTCTCCCTAATTCTTTCTGAAACTCTGACAAACAATTTTTAAGGCAAAATGTGTAACAAGACTCTCTTTAAAGAATTAAACTGTGAAGTTGGATGAAGATTAGAAGCAGGAGTGTGGATTTCCTAACCTTGCTAGGAAATCTTGATCTTGAACAAGTCACTTCCCCTACCTGTTATTTTGGGGGCTATCTGTAAGATAGTATTTATCTGCCCACGGATGTTATGAATCTAGGGATGTTTTGGGGGAGAGGGGTGTATATTGTCTTGAACTTGTTTAAACTCAGCCTGCTTGAATGCTTTCTTTGGAAAGCATGTCTGCTCTGCCTAGTTGCTCTTTGGTCAGCAGAGCCTAGGATTTGTACCACTTTGGCTGTGTTTTAGACATACTGTCTTTTATTTCTGCTTGTACCTGGGAACCTGCCTTTCACATTCCAGAACTCATCAGGAATCTCTACGTTCCCATTCCCAGTGTATCCCTTCTATAGGTGTGGTAGTTCTGCTACTTAAGTCTTCAGTGACTTGTGATAACTCGAACTAACGAACCTTCTGCAAATATGTCTTTTTTTTTTTTAAATGAAATTGTCCCTCTTCACACAGAGCGAAGTGCTGCTGCTTCTTACGGGTATCTCTCTTTTCCCACATCCTTTTCCGCATTGTTCAAGGATTTTCTTTAGGACTGAAACTGCCGTGTTTCTGTGTGTTTGGATGTCCTTTGGATCATCTCCCCTGCCCTTGCAGTTAGTGTACACCAGTACAGGCAGTCAGAAAGAGTTGTGTTTGTTCAAGGAATCTTCTTCCCTTTGAAATATGCTCTATTTTTAAAGATTTATTTGTTTTTCATTTTGGAGAATGACGCTCTCAGTTTTTCATTCTTGCAGATATAAAGAATCAAGCTGTTACTTTTATCTTTCTATTCTTATTTATTTTTTTACCAAACCTAATGAAACCAAACCGTTCCGGGAGGAGGGAAAAGTCTGCTCCATTTCAGGTGATGTTTTTGTTGAATGCAGGTTGAGAAGGCAGAGTTCTCATTTGGAGTAGTGCTTTGACTTAGTAGTCAAATGCAATATAGGGCTTCTGAATTAGCAAGATAAGCCTAAAAGCTTTATTTGCAGAATCTCTTCCCCCATCTCCCTCCCAGACAGACACAGTGATCTGACTCAAGCACGCCAGCCAAAAAATTTCCCACTCTACACGCTGCGATAGGTCTCTTCCTCACTTTTAATCAAACTTAAGTTGCGTTATATCCAGTCTTATTCTTAAGTGTTCTCAGAGAAGAAACAAAATCCAGATAAGGTGTGTTTATTTTTCACTTACTACTTTTACCAGACAGACAGTATTGTTTTTTAAAACAGTCTTGTTGAGAGATGTTGAACTGTTGGAGGATGCCAAGGAAGTTCTGACTTGCTCTTGTAGGTAATTCAGCAATTGTACTTTAAGGGTGGGGAGGAGTAGGAACTCTATTCTAGTAGACTGTTTGGAAGATTACACATGGAATCACAGAATCATGGAATGACTGAGGTTGGCAGGGACCTCTGGAGATCATCTGGTCCAAGCCCCCTGCTCCAGCAGGGACACCCAGAGCAGAGTGGCATCCAGGCGGGTTTGGAGAGTCTCCAGAGAAGGAGACTCCCTAAATCAAGGTATTTTCAAGTATTGATCCTGGAAACTTGAGCCTACAAGGAGAGTACTTGTGCACTATTTTTAAAAATTATTTTAATTGTTAAGTAGGTAGAACTTCTTGAAAGAGGTGTATTTTAAACCTCCAACAAACATCTCTTTGTGTAGAGCATGTTTGAGAAGTTGCTGTTTTTAAGTAAGCCATCTATGAACATCAGTTTCAAAATGTTTTCCTTTGGTTCCGCCCTCTCATCAGCTCTCCCAGATATCTGGTCTACAGAAAACTAAGAAGGTTGACACTCGTTGCCAAGAACTTCTTCTGTGATGTTGATGTTTCTCTTTCTTCGCTTAATGTTTGGAATCAAGATGCAGTCAGACAGGCTTGCTACTTTGTTTCACATTCTCTGAATCCATAGCTTTGCATGTATTTATGTAACCTTAAATATACTTACGCTCACTGATTTTTTGTGTATATTAACTTCTTCCTCTTGATCTCCTCTATTTAACTTGAGGTCAACAGCTTAGGATGCATGTGGGGTTTTTTTGTTGTTGTTTTGTTTTTTTCATTTCAGCCATCACTCAAAGTGAAGAAATGTTCATCCTAGAAAACAATGTAGAAATTCTAGAAAACAACTGCATATCTGGTTTCCATTTTACGTAATTATTTTCTCTTGATAAAATTATTTGGCCGGGCCTCTATCCAGACATGCACATCAGTGATTATTTTTATGTTTAACATAACTTGGAAGGATTTTTTCTTTCAAATTTGAATCATTGAAACTGAAAGATGAGTTACCTTCTTATTTAACTTTTAAATTTTTTTGGTCTATCCAAATTGCCAAGCAGACTCTTAGCATAGTGGTGGCTGTTACTTTCTTTTTGTTGTTTTTCTAAATGTTGAAAGAGTAAGAAAGATGCAGCAGTCTAATTTGAACCAACCTGTGTTATGTAAATGCTGCATGCTTGTATGGATGTTCCGTTGTCTGATGAAATGTGATAACCAATAAAATGAGTCAGGATATTTGTTAAAAGGCATCCTGCACACCTTGGTATTTTCTAGACAATGGCACAAAAAATAACAACGATTGCACATCAAAAATGCAGCCATAAAAATACTAGTTTGGTGCTTTTTAACGTTGCAGAGGTTGCTCATTTTTTAATGCAGAGAAGCTGGGACTTGTCTAGGGTAGCCAAGATAAACTGCTGCTGTCACATTAGCTGGAAAAAAAAATATTTTTTTTACCAAACAAGTCCCGTATCTTCCGTGTTCTTAAAATGCTAGGTATCTCACTTGTATTTTGTAGCATGTAGGATGGAATTATGTTGTACCAGGTAACAATTTTGATGATAAAGCAAATAGTAGGTTAATAGGCAGAATGTTTAAATTTGTTGGTTTGCTTCCTGACTCCAGGCACTTTTTCTTCGTTCTAAAAATGTAATAGTAACATAATGCTGCGTATATTTCTGTAGCTAAATAGAAAATCATAATTTAATATTCTAGGAATGTAAAAATTTTAAGCTGTAGAAGCTATATATATTTCTTGGTAAGAATTCTTGTGTTTCTGAATTACAAGAAGCTCAGATGCCATTGTGGGTTGAAGCGTGGAGTCCTAATAAGCGCAACAGAAGGAGCAGTACAGTCTCTTCCATATTTACCATCATTTGCTGGGCTTAAATTTCTTCAAATGTATTTTCAGACAGCAACTATAAGAATAAAGAAACTGGAAGAAAATATTGAAGCAGAGAGAGCAGCACATTTGGAGTCCAAATTCAATTCAGAAATCATCCAGGTAAACTTACTGCTAAATGTTTTGTGAAACTTTACGATGAAGCAGCTGATAAAGTTCTAAAGATACAATTTTTCCAAAAATATGATAACTGCATACTTCAGGTGAAGACTCTAAGAGACTAGAAGTTATTTATTTATTTATTTATTTCAGCAGCAGGAGTCTTAAAGTTGTAACAAGTGATTAATGTAACAAATGATTAATAGTAGCAGGGAGAGAAAGAGGGAATATTTAAAAACTGTTTTTCAAGGAACTTAAAAGTTATTGGAATTAATATTAAAAATAATTATTTTCACAGCTGTGTGCTTGAGGAAGCAATTTCTCCCACTATTTAAGTAGTGTGGGAAAAGGACATTTTTCTTAGTAAACACTTACTAAGTTAAACACTATAGTACTATTTAAATATTCTGCCCTGTATTTTTGGAAGGGTGATTATTAATACTATTTAGAAATTTAGTGCATGCTCTGAATTTTCTAGAAGTGGGATCTTAATCAATGCACCATTAAACTCCTGCTTCAAATATGATTATTCAGAGTAGATTTCATCTTCAGACAATATTATGATAGAAGCAGTTACCAGTAAAAAATGATTGTATGTGAAAACATTGTTATAGTTGAGCTGATATGTAAAGTGGATATAGTTGAATAATAAATGTTTGTATTATTAAGCTAATGACATGGAGTTTCAACTAGGAAAGCAATGACAGTTTGTTTTTAAAAAGCAGGCATGATCAATTTAAATGACTCTTGCTTAGTGATCGTACGTTAAGTGTCACTTCTTTCATATTCGATTTACTAAAAACCGAATTTGGAAAGGAATTGGGCTACTTTTATTTTCTGGGTAACAAAAATAATTACTGCCCTTCTTGAATTGTGATGTCTTTTTTTTTGTCCTTCTCTATTTACAAGCACTTACCTTTTTTTAAAGTCTGTCGTTATACTGGTAGTAAGGAAAGATTTTGTTATTTTCATTTCTTCTCACTCTCTTTCTCACTCTCTTTATAACATATAAAGGAACTGACAGGGCAACCTGTCTTACATGGATGAATGACTGATAAGCTTTCCTTTCTTGTTGGTGCACATAGTTTTTTGAGCACGCTTTTTGCTAAGGGAAAGTGATCCCACACTGTGGTGAGTCCACTTTAAATATAGAACCTCCTTGGCAAAAAAGTTTCCTTCACTAATAATTAAAACAAAGAAGGAACACAAATGCCATTGAAGGATATTCAGAGGTACCTTTAGACAACATATTTCATCCTTTGTCTCTGCTCTGTACTGACTGTATTAATACACTTTGCATGTGTTCAACACTTCTTGCTCTATAATTTTATTGTCCTAGAATATGATCGTCTTTGAAATAGAATAGAATATGGAACAAATAGAAGATCATGGTAGTTTTTCTCATTTGTTTTAATTGCTTTCCTGTGACTTGGTAGTTAAGGATTCGAGATCTTGAAGGAGCTTTGCAGGTGGAAAAAGCCAGCCAAGCAGAAGCTCTTTCAAATTTGGAGATGATCAAGAAAGAATTCAAAGAGGTAGAAAATGCTTATGAGAGAGAAAAACGCAATGCCCAAGAGAACTTGGAAAAACTCAATAGGTAAGTTATCTTTTAAATTTATTCTAAGATCATAGTAGAAGCTTGTGTACCACTTACAGTTTACATTCTTTGTAGTTTCTAGAAAATAATAATATAATTATGCACTTTACCAAACCTAGCCAAGGTTCAAAATTTGACACTCCATCAGTAACGGGTTCATACTGGTAGGTATTAGGGAAGGTAAAGAAGGTGACTTATTTATGCAAGCACTACACCAAAACAGTGGAAATTGTTTTTCTTGCAAGTTAGGTGAGTTTGTGTGCATTTCTGAATGTGCTGTATTTAATCCTTCTTTAAATATGATTGTAGTATCATATTTGAAGCTGTATTATAAACATAATGCAGTTTTTCATGAAAATAATGCTAAAAAGTATCTCAATGTGAGCCTTAAAAAAAATGTTCTTCAATGAAAAGGAAATAAAATTTTAAAGCACTGTGGAAATGCATGAAATGAATCCTGATAGTTACCTGTGATGATTCTTCAGGACAATAGCAGCAGCAGCTGACCAACGCAACCTCAGCGACTGTCCCTTGATTCATATGAGCATTTCACGACTGTCTTCATATCTGTGTTCACATCCCTTGTGCTCTGAAGGAAAACAAGTGCATTTTTCCTGTTGGCTTCTCTTTGTAGTGCAGAGTAATGAGATTCATGACCTGCAGACAATGCAAACTTAAGGGTTCAGTCAGTCCATTCTGGAAATTCGTAAGGTTTTAGAAATTGTATCCATGACTTTTAAAAGTATGTAATTTCTGAAGTGCAGAAATGCATTGTTTTTGTCTCTGCAGCTGTTTGGAAAGTGAATGGACACATGATTCATATTGAGCTTTGATTTAGTCACATATAAAAGGTTAAAATTACTGAAGATTACCTGTTCTGATTTTATTATTTGATGTGGAACGAATATGGAGTCATGGATTCTGTAAAAGCTGATTTAAAAAAAAAAAAAAGCAATAACATATTTTAATATATGTACCAGAAATGTAAAATATACCCTATGTAAAAATACCAAAATCTGAAAAGAATTGCTGTTTAAAGTGCTGTGTTTTACGCTAGGAGTTCTATACCATTAACACAATCTGAGTCACAGAATTTCTACTGCACTTGATATTTTAATGTTTTTCCTTGATTGTTTTCAGTTTTTCTTTTTTAGTTTAATCACAACTGTCTTCTCAGGTTAAATTTTTATCTCTGTTCAACTGAGGCTTCAGTTTATACATTGTGGCATCAAAAATTTAGAGACAACTTCAAAACTCTTCTATATCTAATTTCTCCACTCTACCTGACTTCAGGGCTCGTGTTATTAGCCTGTACTGAGATATTTTGTTTTTTCCAGAGTAGATGTCAGCAAGAATATGTGGAAAATTAAACTGAAGAGACATCATAGGATTCTTAGGAGTGAAAAACTTTCTCAAAGAAAGACCCGAATTTCAGAAAATTATTTGAAAATCATCGAGTAGCTTTATTTATGCATGCTTATTAAATCTGTTGTATACTGTACAGCTCATTCCTTTATTTTAACAAGTTGTTTTTTCCATGTTCATACAAAATGTTTTATCATAAATACTCCTTTTTGACCATACAGAAGAGTCGTAAGATGTCTGCCTGTCTCAAAGCACCTGAAGTGCTTATTTTTTGTAACAGATGTGAATAGTTGGTTTCAGAGGAGTATCATCATGTTAGTGCCCAATTCCCACCCTCCTACACTGCACATGAGCCTTTCTTTCAGAAATGAAGGTTTTCAGAGCATTGCATTTTGGGTAGTTGTGTTATTTTTTTTTCAGCTGAGCAAAGAGTCTTTGTCTCAAGAAGTGGTCTCAGTTAGAGCATTGGTTATACAAGAAATAATGGTGTCTGATTGTTGCTATCTACAGCACAACTATCACTTTTGCATTATTGGTTTCTAATACCATGCTGTATTTCTTCTAAACATTTTTAAAATACAAATTATATTTCCTTAATAGGTCAGAGTTGGAGTACTAAGGCCTGAATTTTTGTTATTAGTATGATATCTTTGGAGAATCAAACAATAAGAAGTGTAAAATTTAAATCAATTAGAATTAGAAGCATTTTTGATGATGGGTTAAACATCGATTTTGATAATTTTGTAAACTGTTAGAACTTACAGGTTTTACTACAAGATCTGTTTTTTTAATATTATTTTATAGATTAGCAAAGTTAGCTAGCAATTATTAAAATCTGCATTAAGCTGTTGAGATCAGATGGATAATTTATAAATATTAATTTATATATTTATATTCAACCATGTGATATTGAATAAAACTTGTTTCTAGGAGTGTCTTCATCTAGATGTACAAAAGTTTTTTTAGGGAAGAATATAATGTCTTCATTTGGAAATACTTCACAAAATATCTGACCATGTTTGTTATGGCTAAGTATATTGATTTAAGATTGGGGAATATAGTTCTTTATGGTTCTGGTTTGAATTGCATTAGAGCTTTCGTTGTTGATGATTAAAAAGAAGTAAGTACTTGTGTTAGTACAACTTTTACAGGAAAGCAGAGACGGATTATCTTTATTTTTGTTTTGGTACGTTAAAGAACTCGTGCCTATGAAAAACACCTGTTCATTGGGTTTGTGTATTATCTTGCATACTGGATTAGTTTTGTCTAATATACAAACAATAATCTTCACTGTTTCATATCATCTGTTCATTCAGGTAATTGTAGTAGCTTTTATCGGATTAATACTTTGAAAATTCTGTACTCTTAGAGAACTGCAAATTTTCCCATACCCTGTAACTTCGCGGAAACAATTGGAGGTGATCTTACCAGCTTAAAGAAACAGAAAGAGCCTGTAGGAATAGCTTTGTTTATTCAAATTCCTGAATTTCCAAAGCTCCATGAAGATGGGTCATGACAGCCAGGTCTCAGACCATCAATGTACTCAATTCCCTTGAGATGTTTTTATGTGGTGGGCATATACTGCCCATTTTGTTTCCTGTGCCTTTTTTATGCTCTGACATATCCCTTCTGAGTGAAGGGATACACCTGCCTTTCCAAACTGTGGTCCTGGGCTCCAGACAATGTCTTTTTATTTAAAGCCGTGGTTTGGCAGCATGCCTTCCCTTCTCTTGTAGGAGTCCTACAATTTTCTTTAAGCCTCATTTTTGCAAGGCCTTGGAAACTTCTCTTTTTTGGTCTGGAACACTTTTATGTCCCACTGACTTGTCTTGGTGTAGCATTAACAATGTCAAAGGCAGAAATTTTATAAAGCTGTAAGAACTTTCTCAAAAAAAAAAAAAAAGATAGCTGACACCAAGCAAACCGACTTTTCTGGGTTGCATAATTTATTAATTAACTCCAAATCCAGTAGCACTATGTAAATTGGAAGCAACTGGGAATTTGGCTCTCCCTGTGAATTTTCTTTCCTTGAGAAGATAGAGCAACTTTTTGCTGTATTTCTTAGAACTGTGAGGATAGGAGCAACTTTTTAGGACAGGAAGAGACAAATTCTTTCTTTCAGCTATTTGCTTATTATTCTTAAAAAAAAAAATAGAGAGGTTGAGGAAGCATTGTGTAGGTATGTATTTTGAAGACTGATAAACTACCACCTCAATTAAAAGATATGTTGAACTATAAGAAATAAACCAAAGATCACATGTGATAATATTTATTTAAAAGTTAAAAAGACTTTAATCATGCTGGGTCACTTTCAGTTCTGAGAAGATGCAGATATAGCAGAAGATACAAGACAGGGAAACCTGAATATTCCTACCGTTGAGAAATATGTTATGAAACAATTTAGGTTAGAAAGGACCGCAGGAAGTCTGTAGTCCAACCTTTTGTGAAAACCAGGATAAGTTATGAGATTGGGTGGGTCCTCAGGAGATTGCTCAGCCGCCGTGGGATCCGTTCCAGCTTTATCTGTTTTAATGTTTAAGTGCTTATCCTTATCTCTGGTCTGAACCTCTCCAGTTTCAATCTGTAACTGCTTCCTCTCATCCTTGCTCTGTGGAGGGCCTGCATCCACTTTCCTGACAGCCTCCTGTTGGGTGTTGGAGGGCTGTGCGAGGGTCCTTTGAAGCTATCTCTTTTTGAGGCTGAACGTGGGCTTTTCCTCAGCCTCTTCTCGTGCAGTCCAGCCCCTAACCATCTTGTGCCTCTGCACTAGACTCACTCCATATTATCAACATTTTTTTCGTATTGGGGCCTCAAAGCTGGCCACGATTCCAGGCATGGTGCAGTGAGTACCAGGCAGACGCTATAATTGCTTCCCTTGATCTACTGGCTACTGCTGTTCGTATCGGCTGGGATGCTGCTAGCCCTCCCTGCTGCTCACTCTTGTTTAGCTTGCTGTCCCCCATGATCTGAAAGTCTTCTCCAAAGGAAGAGCTCCTCCCCAGCCACATTGTTGTAGGAGAAGGTCTTCCTTTCTAAGGGCAGGACTTTGCTGTATTTCATGGTGCTTAGGTTGGCACGTTCCTCCTGCCAGCCTCACTCCTGTGAACAGCAGTGGCCTTTCCGTAGAGCTTATGTGCTGTTCCCACATTACCAGCTTTGGAACTAAGAAGATGCCACTACTTGACAGACCTTTCCTGAAAGTAACATAGACTTTTTTTTTTTTTTTTACTTGAGAAATGCATCTTTTGGAGCTTTATGGCATGGAAGCATCACATATACTGTTGATGATATTTAAAAATATATAATACACTTGACAGAAGTATTCTTAATAAAAAGTGTTTAAATGTTGACATTTTTCAGATTAGAAAGAGAGTATTTTTCCACAAACAAGCAGTTGAATGAAGAGATTGAAGAAAAGAAGAAGGTAATTACAGACCTCTCTGAGAGACTATGGGATAATGAAAAAAGTTTCAAAGAATTACAGAATGAACTTGCAATGGTAAGACAGAAGCCCTATGACACTTTTTTTTTTTTTTTTAAAAAAAGGAATTAGTGTGAACATAAAATGAATTTGTTGCACTGAGCAGTGAAAATCTTCTGCCATTGTGTTAACATGACTAAAGTTGCGGCATTACTTTACCTTCCTGTTTTGTTAAAATGTATAAATGAGGAGCTGATTTGAAATGATATAGTTTTTAACTTAATAGTCATCTGCAGGAAAGTAATAGTTTAAAACTGTGGCTATGAATGCAAAAGCCATTTGTCCTTATGTTGCTAGAGAAGAGGCTGATAGAGACGTGGATTTTGATTTCTTCAAGACTTTTTTTTTTTGCTTTTGCACTCTACCTTTTTCCCTCTCCAAGCTTTGCTATCTACCGTCATGAGTTTATTTAAATTTCACATAACAATTTATGCTTAATTTTAAGTATGTAGCTATACAAATTACTTACAAAGGCATGCTTGAAGGTGACAAAGCAGAGGGAATTTTGTTGTTGTTGTTTGGTGTTGGTGTTGTTGGTTGTTTGGTATTTAACATGTTGGTGTGTTAATTTTAATAGTTTGTTTTCTGAAATCTTTTTCTTCAGCAATATGATCCTTTGGGTTCTTCTTACTCTCTCTCTCCTTGCTGTCAGTTTGAGTAAGAGTTTCCCCATAGAGATGCATAGCAGAAGGGAGGAAGCAAAGACCTTATGCATATTCTAGAAAGCCTTCTGTCCTTTCGCTGTGTGGGAGTATGACTTTCAATATTTCTTTACTTAGCCAATGTAAACTTTTGATACTGCCTTCCAGTTTTTCGTCTTTCTACCTCTTGAAGCTATATGTGTGAAAGCTAACTGGTCTCTACCATGCTGCTGACAGATACCGTGCTAATAAGTGAAAAACAGCAGGGACCTACATCAAAGAATCTTCAGACTTTTTCCTGTCTTCTCTCCCACTTACCAGAAAAATAGAAAAGCTTTAAGGAATAACTTGTTTGCAGTCTGCAGATGCTGCATGATGAAAAATAGATTCGTGTAGGCAATCATTGTAATTTCATTGGCTATAGATAATCAAATAGATATATTTTTTTTCAAGTTACATGGTGCTGAATTAGAAATGGAGCCTATAAATAACAGTAGCTCTCAGAGTAGATTTACATATGGGTTATGGATTCTCTATCACTGGTCTTAAAATCAGTACTATCTTTAATCAGCATGTGATTTCTAGGAGTTCATTTATTTAGTTCAGCTACGAATTTAGTTTATAGGAGGTCTATAGTCTACATTTAGAAACAAGTCTGACAGGCTGTTGGGGTCTTCTGACTGCATGATTCCTGTTTTTGTTACCTGAAAATGGAGCAAATAGAAGAGCTGTTATGATGTTTTGTACATAGGTATTTTGATTTCTCATGTATGAGTCTCTGCTCCTCTTGCCAACATTTTAGGGCATTGCTTCTACAATTGGCACTTGCTTTTCTTTCAAAATGGTATTGGTTGGCCGTTCTTAGGGTAAGTTATAGAAGTGTGAGTGTGAATGGCAAATCATCCACCTATTCAGTGATTTCAGAGAATGACGATTTCTGGGTTTCAGGTGATGCAAAATGGTTCATCTGCCCTCTTAGTCTTGGAGGTTATGGAATTACTCCATATGGTGTTGCAGTGCTATCACTCCCCAGACAGATTGGTAAATAATAAATTGAAAAAACAGATAAAGTTTGTAGTCCTTATCATCTTCCTTTTGGGAGGCTTGCAGCTTCTTCCATGCAAGTGTATTTTAACGCCTTGAAGTATATGTGCTGGCCTAGTTAATTTGCAGAAGTCCTTTTATTTGTCACAGAAGGAAGAAGAAGAGGCAAAAACATCTATATCTTGTAGCAATTGTTTATAGTGACTGGAATTTATTATATATTAAAAAGATATTTATTAATCTAAAATAATGAGTTAAAGCTGACAAGCTTCTAATAAGAATCTTGGTTACATACTCACACTGTCATATCAATTTTCCTTTCTTGTGTACCTTAGTAAAGTGTGTGCTATATGAAATAGCAACATCACTAAATGGGGGACTCAAAATGAGCAGTATGTAACTGGAAAGGGAAAAAAACAAAATAAATGGTCTCCGTTAAGAGAAAAGTGTCTTGTTCACACAGGGCTGGTTGTTTAAAGTGCTACACTGGAATGATTTCAAACCACAAGACCATCTTGAACAGGTAAAAAAAAATACTCATTTGTTGGGCAGTTGTATTACTTGCCCCTATGGAATTAGATTTTTATCACCTTGGACGGCTTAATATTTTTCCTGAAGACTCTCATGTTTATTTGGGAAACTGTAGTGACTGTGTGTGGTCTTGTTTACTCAGTCTGGAAAGCTTCTTGCTATTTTTCTTCCCAAAAATTAAAAAGCAAAGGCTGTAGCAAAAATAAAATATAGATAACATTGTTACGAGGCTTCCCTACCCTCCTACTGAAGCAGTGTCAAAATGTTTTGAGTCTTCTCTTCTTTTTATGTCTCCATCTTGCTTTTTCGTCTCTTCATTTATTTCTTGTGTTTTGTGTTAGTGTCAGATATTCTGAATATGTTCTTTGCACTGCAGACTGATAACCTCATGTTCTGTGGTTTGCCGTAATACAAGATAATATTTTTATTTGTAAAATGATTTGGGAAATAATGCCAAATCAGTGAAAGTTCTTTGTTTTTGGAGAAGCAGACCAAATATGGGGACCAAATATATTCTTTGAAGACTTTGAAAAGAACATTTTTCTTTACGGCTCCCCTTAGTACCCAGTAAAGTAGTTATACTGCTTTTAATTTTAAATATCAGCATGTTGCAGAAGTTTGCCAGAAATTTGCATGGATCAAGCATGATAGGATCTGCTAGTATCAAATTCAACTGCTCATGAACGTTCATCATGGCAAGATCTCAAAATTTCCATTGTGCTTTTACTAAGGAAATTGGTCTCAGGCTTGTCATTATTTCCAGTGAAGGTTTTAAGAATTTGATGGTTGAAGAACAGGAATTTGGAAGAATGAGCATTGTGGTTCAGAACTAGTTTTAAACTGGAACAATGCCAGCTCTATTCCTGCCCCATGAAAAGAATAAAAGGTATCTTGAAGAGTTTTATAGGTTATTCAGGGTATTTAGATTTCTGTCACCTGGTAGTGGATGGTCTCTAGTTTGTAGCAGTGAACAAGAAGGAGACCTTTATTTTGTGAGAAATGTGTACTGAATTTTGAGGAACTTGCCAATTCACTGTAAGGGTGTACTAAGAAATTGCTGTCATTGCTATTATGAATAGGGTATTTTAGTGTAAATGTCTTTTAATGTGGGTGTGTTGTGTCTTCACTTACTCCTCTTTGTGCAGGCAGTGTCAGGACCAGTGTAATTAGTACGTGGGTGGCGCAAGGGGTGACACCCGAGGCTTGTCCCTCTCTTCCTGGTGGCATTATAGCTCCTTCCCTCTCGCCGGTGTGCATGGATGCAGGGGGCACAAGCTCTGTCTGTGGATTCAGACAGTCTTCCACGTTTTTTACAAGTCAAAAGGCAGGACCTTTGTGTTTGTGAAGGTAGTTGCTGTACATTTCCAGTGGTCTTTATATTAGCCTTAGTATAATAGTCGTTAAGAATAGCACTATCCTAAGTATGGACTGGGCAGAAAATAAAACAACCTAAGGAGTATGATTATGCTTTACACATACTAATGAGCAGAATCTGCTACTCAAAGCCAAAATGTGAATCTAATATGGATAGTTTATTGTGTTCTGAGGTTTTTGTTTCAACATTTAAAAATCGAGAGGCACAGTCTATGTTAATTGAGGCTAATGGTTGTTAAATATTTTGTTAGGTTGATTCTTGTTTTCCTATTTTTAACTTTGTGGTAGAGTATTCCCAATACCCGGATAGTAGTTTATTTTGTTTCTTAATTTAGGGAGAGTTTTCAGTCTTTAAAATAGACGGAAATAAATAAATAAAAGCCAATGATATCAAACATATGTGCTAAATGATCTTCTAAAAAGAAATCAATTTCATTGTTTATGCTGGAAGTCGAGATAGCAGGCAATCCCTGAAGTCCCCATACTTGAATATTGGTGTATGAAAAACTGCTTTTAGAATTGCCAGTTTTTGAATTTTGGGGATCTTAAAAATGAAATTGAAGAAAAGCTTCACAAAATTCTCTTGCACAAAATGTTTGTTGCAGTCCTGGGTGACTAGAATAGTTCCAAATAGAACATTTTTGAGGAACTTTATTTCAGGTGATGAAGACTGAAGACTAAATTTCTTAGGAAATTATATTTAATTTCTCCATGGCTAGACACTTTTTAAATGCACTTTTACTTCTGAAATTTCTAACTACTGGAAGAAAATAAACTGGATGAAGTATTTAATAGTCAGATAACTTAAACAAAAGGAAATACTTGTGGAGGGAGTTTCGTAGCAGGCAGTTGGCTTTCTTTTTAGTATTCGTGTTTGGCTGCTTCACATTTGTGCCACTTCTTGGTTATCCTTTGAATAAAATGTATTTCCGTTCACTGTGAAGAAGCCTTTTGGAGCTTATTTCTGTAAGTGTTCTACTTTGTTTCCTTAAAGATTGTGCGTGGTGCACCTTCCAGCGCTTTTGTAAGGCCCTTAGGCAGTCACTGAGCATGCTGGATTTTGGAGGTTTCGTGCACTGCTCTGACTTTGGCTCTTGCTCTGGCGTCAGCACGCAGTCCTCCAACAACACACCAAGTGAGTGAGTCCACATGTGAAAAGAGGCACAGGAAAATGAACAATGAAGGAGACCCCTGTCACTGTTTCCAGCGGTCTTCTCAGTGCTCCTGAGAAAATCCCTCTGGGCACTTCAGACTAAGGGTTGTGCTCGGGTCCCCTGGGTTGGCAGGGTGGTTCACATCCCTGCAGGCCTCCTGCTATCTTTCCTTTGCTTGCAGCTTGTCAGAATGGCCCATTTTTGAGCTTGGAGGAGGTGATCCTTGACCATCTCCTCCAAGGTCATGGATGTCCCATCGCTACCAGGACAACCCTGGAAACTGTTCTTAATCAGCACATAGGAGCTGGCTTTACAAAGGCACCTTCACACCTTTCCACTAACATGGCTGGACTCTTTAAGTAAAGAAAGGGCTTTAGAGCCCGGACACCTTCTTTCCCTTTGGAGACCGTGTGCGGAACACTGCCTCAGGTAAATTCATAGTAGTTCTGCAGGAATGGCTTCCCCTTGCACAACGGTGAATTTGGAGGTGCTCTCAGATGGGATAGGTGGATCTGAAAGAAGACATCTCCCAGCATCTGCAGCTGACTGTGTTCTCGACTTCCACACTCCGGTGGGATACATTTCCCTTTGGGAAGCAGAGTTGCACAGCGTGTGTTCAGCCCCAAGAGAAGAAAGCTGAGGGGGAGCTAACAGTTGCCGTCAGCTACCAAACCAGTGCTTGCAAAGGTGGCAGAACTGCACCCTCCTCAGAGCGCTCAGCAAGAGGATGAGCGGTGCTTCCTATGAAAGAGGAATTCCTTGTGGGGCAAAAAGATCACAGTGAGGATGGTGAGATGCTGGAACGAGTTGCCTGGAGGGGCTGTAGAGTTTGCGTCCCTGAAGATACTAAAAACTTGACTGCACAAGATCAACATAATCTGACTTTAGGGTTGTCCGTGCTTTGAGTGGGGAGTGGGATCAGATGACTTCCAGAGGTTCTGTCAGCTTGAATTATTCTGTGGTTCTGTGACATTATGCATCCTTATTAAATACCTCTCACTGGGATGTTTTCTATGTTTACACCCTTTTTGATTCATACCTATTTTTAGATGCCCAACATTGTAATTTACACAGTTTTCTTAAATTTGTAACAACTGCAGAAATTGATTCAAAACAGAAGTTAGAAAGGAAAAATACTAAATTGTTTGTAGCTAATGTATAGAAGAGCTGGCAAGTCTAACGAATTTCCTTTTGCTCTTTAATACTGTTGAGAAGGACTGAAACTGGCTTACTGAATGTAGATGCAGTCATCACAGAAAAGTGGTAAAGACCAAATACACTGGAATATACTGACTGGTGGCAGTAAGTTAACTAAAATGATGGAAAATACTTGAATGGGGAGATAGAAAGATCCTCATGTTTGATTTTTTTTTTTTTTTTTCCCATGGGAAAAGATTTTTCTGGGAAGATACAGTCTGACAGTCTGACTTTGTACTGGAGTGTTTAAAAAATATAAAAGTGTATTTATTTTATTGTGATAGTGATCGTGATCTGACATTTTCTTACTTACAATGTGTGCAGGTTTTGAGATGATATCAGTATATTAGGGTGAATAATTTTAATGTTTGCGTCCTACAAAATATTGCAGGAAATGCAATCTCTGTTTATGTAGAGAATTCTATATAAGGAAGAAGAATATTTATTTTTGGTCATAGTTAAAGAAATAGTTTTGAAATTCTATGTGAAATGTAGCGAAAATTCTCACACAAGGAAAAGCGTGTAAATGCTACAGGGGACCTAACATTGAAATACACATATGAATAATATATTAGTTGATATACAGTACATGTAATTAAAATTGAAAGAGTAAAGCAAATTTATAAAATATTTAAAGTGAATAGTGAGGAACACTGCAGAGAATTAGCTTGCCAGTTATATGCTACCAGCATCTAGTAGTTTTCTTTCGGTGGGTGTTTCCCCCACTTGAGAAATTGATTAGATCCTACATATTCAAGGAAGCATAGTTGAAGCAATAGTTTATAGGTAATATAGAAAACAGAGCAGGATTCTTTCCAGCGCAAAAAAGGGTAAACTTTCATAATAAAATAAAAGTGATAATGATGCAAATAGGTGCTATAGCTTAGAATAAAAACAAACTGGAGATTAGGGGGAATTAGATATCTTTAAACATAATCTTTGACACAAGAAAATTATGAGGAGGTAGTTAAATCTAGTTTCTTCTTCACTTTTTTTTTCCTTCATGTAACTGACCAGGTATATCACATTTTGTCAGTGGGATGCTAAAATTACAAGTCTGTTTGAAAAGTGGAATCTATAAATGTCCTTCCACAGAAGTATAATAGGAGCTTCATTCTGACTTGAGTCATGGATATTTCTGTAATTAAAGTCTGTGAGAGTTCAGGTTTTAGCATCGGATGTAAATTGAAGTTTCATACAATGTTTATGTTCAAAGATAAATCTCTGTTCTAAAGCCTTTCTGCCTTCAAAATAAAACAAATGTCTAAATTTGAACAATAGACTGAACTCAGTGAAGTTCATACTTTAAGAAAAATCAATTCTAGGAGTTGGAGAATTCTGCTTCTTCATATTCCGTGTTTCAGGAGAAGTTTTTGAGACTGGAGCACTACCGAGCATGGAAGACATTAACAACTGAAGTAGGCAGGTTTGCAACAAGAGTAGGTGTGGGATTTGACCAAGTGCCAAATCGTGGATTTCCAGCCAGTCTGCCAGTAGTTTGGTGTCTTTCTAGATGCCCTTGTAGGGTGTAACAATAGATTTCATTGCTTGCATAAATAGGCAGCAATTAATTAGCTTTCATTGTATTTTTAAAGCAGAAGATTAAGACCAAAAAATTTATTTGTTTTGCCTACTAGAAGCCTTAAATCCTATTACAAGTGTGTTTCAGGGTTGCATGAAATCTTAAAGGACTGATAAGAAAGATAGCAAGAATTATTTAAAGGAGAACAAAATATCACTGTGATCGGTATTTCTTCTGTTTACTATTTTAATGGGTTTCTTTTTTTTTCTCCTTCTTGTCTTGTCTGTATCTCCTGTCAAATAAAGGCCAAGAAACACCAGGCCTTTCTAACAGAGACGTGTGAAAACAACATGAGAGAGCTGGAGTTACTCTTGGACAGCTTTGCTATGTCAGGCCAGCGGACAGCAGGTTAGTTGAAGGTATAAAATGACAGATGCATCTGTCAATGTTCCAAAGTCACTACATTGTGGGAATTCTGCAGATGCCTCTTGCATTCCCTCTTCTCAACATGCTTTGATTTGATGACATGATAAGAGCAGTTCTCACAGCAGTCAAATGGCCTTGCTAGCTGAGAAGGGGTGACGGAATGTGGACCTGCTGTTGTCAGCCCAGAGCTTGATTTACAAATGCCGGGGTCTATATGATCGGTCAGAAAAGGGCTCACTTGCTGTGCTCTAAATCCAACTGAGAAAAAAGTCCTTACAGTATACCTGCAAAGGGAACAGATGTTTTGCCTGAACTGAGCCAAATTCTGAGGCAACCTTCAGCAACTTAAAGGTCATATATTCACAAAGGTTGTGTAGGACATATGATATAACACACTACTTTTTTCTCTTGTCTGTGGAATAGTATTTTATTGCATCTATAACAGTATGAATATTTCTCTGCTCACAATTAAATAAAATAAAAGTCAGTGCTTGTCACTCTGGCTTTATGTATAATTATTGTATCAAACTCAAAATATTGCTGTGTGTGCTTTAACATTTCAGGTGTTAGATAACATAAACGGACTGAATTTTGACATAAAAACTACTAGCCTTTCCAAGGTGAAGGTGGAATATTTTAATTTAAAATCTTTGTTTAAACCCGCATAAAGTTTTCTATGCGGTTCCTGTTAGAAAGTCACAGACTGGATACAGAAAGCTTCCAACTTAGCAAATAAACTGGAAAAAAAGGCACCTTATTTTGCCTGCTGTGTAAAGCAGGTCAAAAAAAATGCTTAAAGAGCAAATGCTCTTATTTTATGCAGGCTGTGATAGTACATTTCTACCATTTCTGTTTAACCACAATAGACATGCTATAACACCTTTTAATGGAGATATATATAAATATTCCAAGATATCTTTACAGCCTAGTAATGTCAAAAATGAGTGGAGGACCTTCCTAGATTCCAATTTACCATAAAAGCATAGGCTTCAGTTTAAATCTGTGATGCATTGATTTCCTTACCTGGGTCATATAATTTTTGATTTAGGAACTGGGATCACTTCCTAATCAGTAATCCTAATCAGTAGAGTTTTATTCCACAATTACAGTTTTAATTCCTGTAAGTAGTTCCTGCAGGTTTACTCAAGACACATTAACTATTTCAAGCTGTATGTTTTCCTCAATCTTGCAAAGTTCCCCATTCCTGGAGGTTTTTTTTTTGGAGGGAGTAGGAGGAGGGAGTAGGATGCTGCTGCCAAAAGCAGTTCCAAAGCAATAATTGTCTTTTGGACTTTCTGTGTGGCAGAAATACACTTTTCCTTAGTGACAAACCTTTCAGAGAAGAGCTATCTCAAACTGTTCTTACTACTTAATAGTAACTTGTGTGTTAATTTGCTATGTTGCTTTGTTATTTAAGGTAAACTTTGAAAGAACTCATTTGAACAAATCTTATTTCGAAGCTTTGGAGACTCGATAGTAGCTCGATTGAGGCGGAAGGTCAAACTTAATGTGAATCGAGTCCTCATAGCTAGTGTTAAAGTGGACATCGACTAAAGCGTTTGTTCTGCAATATCACTGCACTGTTGAGTGTGAAACGTATTTTTGTTTTGTTTGCTTTTTTGTTAAGGCTGTCGCCTTACTCTCTTGTATTTAGAAATTGTATTTAGAAATTTGTTGGGTAATATTATTTCTTTCCTGTTTACTGAAATAGCTGATGGTTAAAGTAGGAAAATCTAAGAGCAAATGAAAATCAAAACTTTCATTAAATTTCCATAATCTAACTAGCAGCAGAGGGCAGTTGGCATGACACGAGCCACAGCTGGCTGGTCAGTCATTCTCTTGTCTTTGAAGGTTTTTAGCTTTTATCTAAAATGGCTGAAAGGTCACACTCAGTATTAAAGGTCCTGTACCCTCATTTAATAGATAGTTAATATGCTCTTGGACCTCTGGCGGAAAAAAAAGTTTATGTTTGTAAAATTAAAAAATACACATATTTACCATTTTTAAAATATCCTTTCCAAAAGAAGAAGCACAAACCTATATCTTCTGCATGTTCAAGTATTTTGAAAGTGTTCCTCAATGTTGTTGTTCATATTGCACATATGCATGATGTTCAGTTTATTTCAGTTTGTCATATTTTGTAGTTACTCATCTACAAGTTTAGTGCTCAACATTGGTCTTTATTTAAGGCAAAAATGTTCTTATGATTCCAGGAATATTAAAAAAGTGAATTGACAGAGTTACCCACTTGAACCTGGCATTTCTCTGAAATTTGGCCCAAAAGCTCACTTGAGTGATATTGACAATTAACTTGATTTTATTTATTTATCTATCTACTTATTATTTCTTATCGGGAAAGCAGATCTAGCAAGACAGCCGTGTTTGGATTATTTTGCATTTCTCTTGAATTGTTGTCTGGAGACAGGTGGCAGTTGGCCAGAATTAGAGCAGTAGCCTCTAGCTGAAAACAACTTTATCTAATGCAGGGATATAGAATCTGGTATTTTTGTTGGAAAACTGGGCTGTCTAGAAAGCAGCCAAGGCAGCGAGCAAACACTGGGATGGTAAGTTTCCTTGCAAGAGCCTGTTCTTGGCAAACTTGATCTAAATATCATTTCTGGGACAGCATTGGAGGAGTAAGAAAGAGAGATATTCCATTTCTGTGCAGAAAGATGGCTGCAAAATGTTCTTATATTGGTCCTATAATAGATAGGTCACTAATGTTTCTGAGAGTACCATGCTGGAGTCCTGTGCATACATAAACCTACCTGTGCTTAAGTGATAAAATCAGTAGTATTGTAAGATACTACAGCTCTACCTTAAATGACAGAGCAAACCCACATCTTTGGTTTGACTAAGTGTAAATTGACTTGTCAGTCAGCTGCTAAGTGCCAAAATGAAGAGCTCATGTTCAGTACAGAGTAGTATTCAGCCGTATTGTCTGCTTTCTGGTATTATCAATGTAGCCAGCAAAGAAGAGGGTAGTTAATTTGAAATTTAAATTTTCAGAATGGCAGGTCTCAATACTTCCACACTTTCACATATAACTTATTTTTCTATTGACTACTGCTATGGATAGCTTATAGAACAATCCTATCACTTATGTATAATGCATTGAATAGAATGTTGTATTTATTAGATAACACCAACCAGAGAATGCTTAAAAAAGTAATCTTACAAGTTCATTAGGGCATCTTTTCTGCCTAACAAAATTTTATGCATGGCTATGGCTGCCTAGTGGAAAGGTTTGGAGTTCAATATCTGGTTTGACTTTGAGACACCCCAAGTAAACAGCTCCGAGACTTTCAAACGGCTTTGGAGTGGTGTAAACACCTGCACACACGTTTAGTTCTACTGGGAGCTATGATTGATTAGCATCACTGGAAATGAGATGCCTCTGATTTCACGCTTCGTCTTTTGTAGAATAAACATGGTGTTTGGGTTGGTAAAGTTAGTTCAGTTTATAAAGTTTATTAAACACTTGAGGAACAGTGGTAATAATCATCTGTTACAAAATATATCTATAAATGCTTCGTAGTTCTGTAAACAATGGAGAGGAAGAAGAATCTGTCAATAACCTGCTGTTTTGCTCTAACATGAGAAAAAGTGAAGAGGCTGTTTTTAGAAATTTAATATCAGCTGACATCTTGTGACCTCTTGATCAATATAGTATTGTTTTGCTTTCTTAGCACATTGTACTACTAGCTCTGGAATGCTCAAACCTATGTTCATATGTCCCTAATTAAGGCAACTAGATCAGAAGTCTCGTCTGAAGGTTTAATAAATAAGTGTAGTGTGTATAATGGATATATCAGCTTTAAGATTTATAATTGAAACATTATGTAGGACTCTGCAGACAGATAATAAAATTTTTTTATTATTTCCTTTGGAGTGAAATTCAAGATCATTTAAAGGGTTTTTAAGATCTCTCCAAGCATAACATAGTCATGTGATCTTTGGCTCAGTAAAACTCTGAGTAAATGAAGTACTACATTATAATATGCATGCTTAGTCACAACAGCAAAATAATGGCAGGAAAAATGTAACACACTTAACTTTTAGGCAGCATGTTTTTCAAAGTGCATTTCTGTGTGGTTTTAATGTTGGCTGGTCTGACTGAATGACACAGACTTGACCACGGTTGAAATTATATGCAAGTCTGCATACTGACAACATTAAGTAGAAATGTAATCCAGAATTTGCAGTTCTGTGTCTTGTGTTAGAGGTACAAGATACAAATGTCTGTCAGCGCTATTTGTTATGGAAGCAGGGCTGTTCAGCTGCATAGCTTGTGGGAAACAGGGATGTTGTTCAATGTTTTGTGTTGTCACTGTAGCCCTACCTGATTTTAATACCTTTCTCCTCTGTGAGTAGTCTTCTCTCTCTGAGGCTTTCAGGGCTTAATTTTCATTCTGTATTTTTCTGCAGGCGCTTGTAAGGACAAAGATAAACCTCCAAGCCCCTCTGTTGTCCTTGAGACTTTGAGGTGTACCTTGACAGATTATCAGAACAAGCTGGAAGATACATCTAATGAGGTAACACTTGCACTGTTTGGCTCTGTATGTGTTGCCTTCGGCCTGCAGCGATACATATTCTTTGCTTGTAACAAAGGTCAGAAAAGTGGGAATGTTGAGCTGACAGCTTCACATATACCGAAAGAAATAATCTCTGTCACTAGTCTTTCTTTAAGCCTGCCCTACAGTAGTGTTTCATTTATATAGAGGAGGGGGGATTGGTGTTCCATTCATTTTTTTAAAAATCTGTTGGGGTTGTTATTTTCAGTAAGTTTTGATTAAAATGAGTCTTCTCTAGTGAAGAATTTCAGTTAAAAGATGATGATTCAAGAGTTTGATGCATAGATTTTACGATGGTACTATTAAAAATATAATACTTGAACCCGAACAGTCATTTTTTATCAAATATGTAAATATGCTTGTGTGCATTTAAGAAGCAGAGTAATTTTCTGGTGTGAGGTTCTTTATGGTACTATTCTGAGGTCTTTTCAGATATAATACGTGCTGTTTAAGAAAGTATAGTTATTTCCACAGTCACTTATTTCTTGCGCCCTTTAGAATAATCTTAAAGGTCTGTGGAATGTCATTGTTTTTCCAATAATAATATCCACTCCAAGAATTCTAGGACCTTGACAATACTGTCTTCAAGGTAACAACACAGTAACTGAAATATTTAAATTTTGAAAGTCCTTCCCTCAAAAAAAACAGAAACAAATACAAAACTAATATCTGCTGTGCAGTCCTAGTAAACTTAGATTTCCCTACCTGGAAAGTCACAATCTTGCATTTATTTTCTCATTCGTATTGCTAATGTGATTCAGTTAATCCTGTTGAGTTTAAATGTTTTATGAATTTGTAGCTTTAAAGACTGTGGAAAGGAGTTAGCTATACTCCGTTGAAGTTCTCTGTACAAAATCGTAATTAGTTTATTGCTGGATAAAACTGACAAATACAGGAGGACAAAGTGTAGCAAGATTGAAAAAATGCTGTCATTGATGTTTTCTCATTTCTATTTTGTATGTTATTCTGAGAAATGCATAGTCTAGCTAGTCACCGACAACGTTAAAAAAATGCGCTAGCCGTGTTGCTTTTATTGGGAAAAGAACCATCTCCCACGCCCCGGGGCGTCCGCCCCGCCGCGAGGTGCTGCTGGCAGGAGGAGCGTCACGCGGAGCGCCGGCTCCGCAGGCCTTGGCTGGGCACGGCGCTTTGTTGGGAAGCCGTGCCAGGGACAGCCGCGGGGAGAGCACGGGGTGGCTGCCGAGGCGGCCGCCGGGGCGCTCTGACAGCAAGAAGAATGAACTGTCAAGGAAAATAAACCGCAAGCAGAGCGGCACCGACTGATGACCTGCCGCGGGACTTCCCAGTCGGGCCGCGTGTGACTGACCCCGCGGTTGTCATACAGAGCCAGCTCCTTCACGGTGCACACAAAGGGCAGAGCTCTGTCCTTCTTGGTTCCCCTTGCCCCACAGCTACCGCCGCTTCTGGCTCTTTGTGCGTTAGACGTGCTTAGTGATTAAACTGGTCGTAATAATACAGTGAGTTGGGCTGTGAAAGGCGTTGTGCAATTAAAAGAGAAGGTCTTAACACAACAACAAGGGTTTCGTTTTGAGTAGTTATATAATGGTTATTTCGTACAAGAATTTCCAACAAGACTCCACATATTGATGGAATTATTAATCTAAGTATATACCTGTATGTACACATGAAATGCTGGTGAACTTGTCATGTGTCACATTAAATCGCAGTGTTAAATATTAAATGATAAGTTTTGCTTGTGTGACAGAAGGGTATAAGAGTGAATTTTTTTGATAGAGAAAAAAATTCCAATTTTACATACTATATGGAGACTAGAGTATGTTTGGAGAGAGAAAGAAAGCTGGTAAAATAAAAAGAACCTTTGAAATGTTTCGGTTGCCTTGCATAATTTGCCACAAATATTTCTAAAGCTGTTCAGGTGTCCTGATCAGCATCAAACGAAAATATAATTTTCAAGTAATGTATAAATTTGTAAATGAGGTATTACTTGATTCCTTTCTGAATGCTGAAGGACCAGTATTAAGCTGCCTTATGTCTCTGTTAGATGCCTTCTTTCAGACCTGGAAATTGCTAATCTTAGCATAAGGTAACTAAAGACAGAGATGTGATGCAGAAATATATAGCCACAAAAGCAACAACCTTATTTATTTATTTATTTATTTATTTATAAAAGTAAAGCTAGTGCATGCTAGCTAGTACAAGCTAGACCGTCTTGAAGGTCACCATGCTTTTCTTAGGGGACATTGCTGCTAATAGGTATATATGATTACTATCCTGCATTTATCAGAAAGTGGAAACTACTCTTAGGCTATTTTTTTTCAAAGAGCCAGTGACTCTAAAGAACTTATTTTCTTAAAATAGTTCTCAAATCATAGTCTGGATTTATTACATTTTACTGCATATTTCAAAGTCCTCCTCCTTGTCAGACATTTTGGAAAGTGATGGTAAAGTTAATAGGAAGCTAAATTAAAGAATTTGATGTCTACTCTTTTACCTCGAATCTTTGTAAAAAGCTATGTAGTGCTTCAGTAATGGTACATTAATCAGACTATGTAGAGTAAAAACACTGTCAAAGGAATTTTAATTCTTTTTCTTTTTTTACACTAATATACTATTATTACAGTATGTGTAGGGTACTACTTTTTTTTACATTTATATACTACTACTATTTACTATATATATGTATAAAATCGGTGCTTTATATGTAGCTTTTTGGTAAAAGCATGTTTCTCCTTATTGTTCACAGCTTGTGAAAATCAAGGCTTTGTATGAGATGATGTCAGCAGAGCTTGAGGTATCCAGGGAGAAAATATGTTCTCAAAGTCAAGACCTTAAGGTATGAATTTATGAATTTAACATAGAAATAGAAAGTTCTACAAGAAAAATCCTAATGGATATGTGTTATTCTTTTTGTTTTAGCAGAGTAAGTCTATACCATGTCATTCTATTAAAGAGGTTATTTAAACTGCAGGCTTGTATGAAGTCATGTCATAATTATCATGGTCACAACCTATCTAAATCTACATAATTGAGCATTTCAATAGTTGCATCTATGAAATAAAAATTTGAGATCTTTATCGATTTGAAGAGTATTGTTTTATATTGGAATCAACCTCAACATTTTTTTCTCTTTACTCTGTGTATCTTTTTTCCTCAAGAAAACTAAGAATGAGAAATGCACTTAATTGATTCCTTCTGTTCATACAAATCAAATTTTATTAAATTTTATTTTGTTTTATCAGTCAAATGTTTTAGTCACATTTTGTGTAAGATAGATCATCCTTGACAGTTGTAAAATGTGCAGTCTAATGCTGTTTTGAGTAACTGGCAAAAATACTTAAAACTCTTTACTTGTTCAGTTGGAGTTGTTTTTTCTGTCTCTCTTTTTGGCTGACACACTAGTTTTGTAATGTCCTGTCTGGTAACCTAACTGGCTAAGGGAGTGAGGAAGTCCTGAATTCCCTGTTAACTTAACGTCCAAACTGGCACTTTTTTATTACTGCCCCCCAAAAATTGATTGCTTCCAACATTTTTCAGAAACTTCTGCTGGAGATGTGCTACGCTTTTGCCAACATTCATTGAATTTTAATGTTATTTTATACATGTACATGATCTTTTGTCATCTGATCTGAACTTTCTGTACTAACTAATTTATGTTCAGAACACTTAAGACTTCAGCTTCTGCTGTAAGACCTTTGTAAAGCACCTGAGAATTTTGCAGACCCACTGCAACCAATATGTGCACTCTTCATGCAAAAGTCGAGTTTGTTGCACGTAGGATGTGCTGCTTTTCATGCTGTACACTTGTTTCTGATTTCTATAAATTTTCAGTAATAAATTCAATCTGAGTAAAAACTAGATCCAGTCTAAAATATTTCTGAAAAAAATTTACAATGCTTTTATGTTTTAGTTAAGCAAAATTAAAGCTCTCATGATAGGAGAGAAATACCATTTTTACATAGACTTCTTCTATAAATAGCTGTGATTTTATGGAAATAACAGTGCCTTCATTTGAACTTTCAACAAACTTCAGCAACACTGGAAGTGGAAGTTCAGTGCTTTTAGGGAAGGTATCTACACATGCCTCTCAACCAACTTTTGACTTGAAAGGGTAATACATTAAATTTTTTGCTTCTCATGTGAGGTTGTTATTGACAAGGCAATAGTGATAATCTGACAATTTCTGGTTGTTAGTTTCTCCCACAATCAAATTCCAAAAGGAGTCGTGCCCCCCCCCCTTTTTTTTCTTTTCATCGTGCAGATAACAAAAAGTATGGAGGGTAGGAGTTCCTCCCAAAAGTTGACCGCAGTCGTCTTGTCACCTGGCTGTGATGTTTAAGTGATTTATTTATGAAAGTAACAAGAGTAAACCTTTCACTAGCTCTGAAAGCTCCCCATTTGGAGACTCCTGTATGTTCATTTTGCATTCTCAGTTAGGGACGATGAACCCTATTCTGAGTTCCAGAGGGGAGGTCTTCGTATCGTGAGTTGTTTTGCTTCAGAGTTGGGTTTCATGGGCTCACTATTTCAAGGCAGTGGTGAAGAAACATTGTTTGATTTGGAAATTGACAACATGTAGTCAACTTAATCCACAGTCTTCTGAGCCCACATGTCAGTATGGATGGTTTCTTCCTCAAATGGTGGGTGAAGTTAACATTTTACAATGTAAAATTCTTACCAGCCTTCCTGTCCTATTTCTCTGTTCTGCAGGAAGCTCAGGATAACCTGGCTGATGCCAATAAAGAGTTAAATCATCTGCACACTAAGTGTGTAGACAGAGATACTTTAATAGGCACTTTAAAAATGGAACTACAGAAAGTACTGCAGTGCTGGGAGAAAGAGAAAATACGTGCCACAGAATCTGAAAATGAAATCCAGAAGCTTACCAGGGCTTACCAGAAGGATATGGAGGTATTACCAGAGACAAGATGACTGTCAAAAAGAGTCTTTATTTAATCTTAGCTTTATACATTTACATATATCAGATGGGTACTTTTAGTCTTAACAGATTTATCCCCAAAATATGATCTTAAGATATGTATTTTGAAATATGTATTTAGTATCTTCGAAATCTCAGTGTGTATTGTTTCACCTTCTTTCTGAACTAAAGCTTAACCCTTTCAGTGTACTTTTCTTAACTGACTTATTTAAACAGTTATGCCTGAAGAACAATTTTTTCTTTCAGTTTGAAAGAACAAATGCTTTACAGTTCAAACATAAAAGAGTATAATCAAGACATGTTTTTAATTTCTGATTCAGCTGAGAAGTGATAGATAACAAAAATGGAATTGAGATAGTTTTACCGGCTGCAAAATCTGTAATTTATTGTCTGTGATTTGTTATTTGATAGATAAATGATTTATTTATGAAAATAATGCTGTATGTGGAAATTGCTTTACTAGGTTTAACTTCAGAACTGTTCTTTCCTTATCTTTTTTTACTGATCTTAATGATACAGCTTTCTCTCTTTTTTTTATAGTTTTTTTTTCTTCTCAGTATAACAGTTCAGCACCTAGCTCTGTCAGTGGAGTTCTTTATCAGAGTTGTCCTGCATCTTGAGCTCATTACTTGCATAGATTTGAACATGGATGCCAACTGAGTAAAAAGGAAACATTCTTTCCACCTCTCTTGTAGTCTGGTATTTAAATAGTGTCCACATGAAGCAGCTGGAACTGTTATTCACATCAGATAATGATTAAAGTGAAGGAAACTTGAAGCCTAACTGTATTGTAAAGTCAGCGTGTCTACAGTATTGTGGTTGCATTCAACACGTGCATCCCTTGAGATCCCTTTTTTTTCTTCACACCAAATGGATAATGATCATCCTTGGTTTATCAAAAATATCATGCTGGTGACACGCTGGATTTTATTTGGGGAATTAGAAAACTCATTAGAAACAAGGCTAAACAAAACTAAAATAAAATACTTTATTGCTCCATATAAAATAAAATAATCCTGGCCTACACAGTGCAGTTATGACATGAGCACAGTGCAGAACGCTCTGAAAAAATAGTTTTTTAACCTTATAGTTGTTAACTCTATAATTTCTTGATGTAAGGACTCATCCAGGTCTCATGGAAAATGATGGAACCTTTCCACTGATTTATTTGGCTTTGAATAAAGACTGTTTCTTGTGGCTTTTGACAAGCATCTTTGTATTGTCTTAATCAAAGAGGCTGAGCTTGCGTATATTTACTGAAAGGATGAAGGGTGGATTTGCATCACATGATGCTGTTAACTAAAGATTATTTATAACATCCATCAGTTTATTATACCACTGACTAAAATCAATATAAATGGATGAGACATGGCTTTTGGAGTGTAAGTGATTGAGCTATAAACCTATTTTGTTAAGGTGTTTGGACATACATAGTAAGTGTATGTAAAACATGGAAATAGAGCTTTGAAAGAACTTAAGGTGATGTAAAGTTTTAGTCTGTTTCATGTATTGGTTAGTCCATTTTCAGTGCAGTGACATTGGAAGGGGGTGCAGTGTGAATGAAACTTAAAGTGTTAACGTAGTCAGTTAAATTGCATCTATTAATAGCACTGAAAATTTTATTTATATCATGTCATAGTCAAGCACGCTGCAAGATTGGGCTGTTTGTATTTATGTGTTATGCTTAATCAAACAAATTTCATAAAAGCAGTGGCATTAATAGTTTTGATTACAGACATTAACAATATTACTTTTTAAATGGTTTGAAAATGAACTTCACATTGTTTTTTTTCCAGGTTTGTGCAGTTCACATTACCACACGTGTGATGTATCTCTTTGGTTTCTAACACAGTTTATATACAGCAGTTAATTTTTCTTTTTTTTTTTTGTCTCAGGAGAAGCTAACCTTCCTTCATAACTTGTATCAGCATTTGGTAGCAGGCTGTGTGCTTATAAAACAACCAGAAGGCATCCTAGATAGATTCTCTTGGCCTGAGCTTTGTGCAGTCTTACAGGAGAATGTTGATGCCCTGATCTTAGACCTTAGCAGGGCTAATGAGAAGGTAAGTGTCCTTAGGCACTAGCTACCTCTATTAAATTCAGTGACATTTGTCCACATCACAGTATCATTAAAAGGGACTGACATTCATCTTATTTCAAAAAGAATTTGGACGTTAATAATTCAATACCATTAATTATGGCTTGTCTACAACTCAGTTTGATGCCATTGCTGTGGGCATGTAAATGTGACTGAAGTCTGTATGAAGTCTCTAAGCTCCATTTTCTGTGCAGGACATGCTAATACTACTAGCCAATATTAGCCATAGGGACCTAATTAAAAGAAAATAAATTAATCTTACTGATGAAGCAATTCAAAGAACTTAGTCATTTACACTAATAAAGCAACTCTTTATTTTAGCATAAAAGAGAAACAAAATGCACTTACTCCAGGAACATCATCTTTAAAATGTATGCATAATATTGAGAGGTACTATTTGGAAAAAATGCTGTTGTGTTTATTTCTTACATGATAATTTTTTGATTATAACATATATGTTCTTACATATATAAATACAATAGAAAACATTTATTTTTAAAGTGTTTCTCTGCATTTAATAAATATTTTTCAAGGAAAAAATGTAGTTTCCTGAGTCAATTTAATGATAGTAAGCATAAATGTCCCTTCCTCTCCCTGCCCAAAGGCCTGCATTTAATAATATATATTTTTAAGGGGCTTCTTGTTCAATACTGTGAGCAGGCTCTGCAGACTAACATATGCCACTCTTTAGGGTTTCTGTTCATGTCCTGGTTTCATTGATCGGGTCACACGTGTTGCTGTGGTCTATTAGAAAGATTCCAGGTCTTGGCTGCATCTACGTTTTGTTCTTAATGGACAGGACGAGAAAAACTGTTCCATAAGTTCCTCATCTGCTGGAATCATCACGGCTCTTGGGCTTGAGTACAGGTGCAGGGTTGCTTATGTTAAATAACTTTGACTCTGACAATCTTAGCAAATATCCCAGCAATCAGTGGTAATAACTAAAGAGAGTTAATTTAAAAAGAACTGTGGATTAGGCAGAATGGGTCTACATGCAAGATTTCTGTTTGTGTGTGAGGTGGAGGTGAAGGGAGTGAATATTGTTGGCAGTGACAGGAAGGGGTTGTGTGTATGTCTCTCTTTTTGTTTTTCTCTTTTTTTGGCATATTTTTAAATTTAGTATTTATTGTAAATTTAGTATGTAGTATGTTTATTTTTAAATTTAGTAACTGAGGTTGGTTAGCTGTTCCGTAGAGCTCTTCTGTGTAGTTGACAGGGGAAGCCCAGCTTGGCAGGGTTTGAGGGCAGTGCTTTCTGAAAACAATTTTTGTTTTACTCATGAAGTTTTATGTGGTCCTGTTCAAAGGAATATTGTTGATATTCCTACATACCAAAGTGAAAGTGTAGATGTTTGTGTTTGGAGGTCTTCCCTTGATTCTTACCTCCATTTAGTCTGAATGGTAGTTGCAATGTTAAATCATGTGGTGAAGCGCCCTCATGCTTGTTGAAATCATATCATAAAATAATGAGCTAATTGCAAGAAATACATTTTTAACACTCAATAATATCTGGAATGTCTTGGCTTTCCAATAAGACGTAATATAAAAATAAGGACTAATATTTCATTATTATTTAATTTGCTAGAGAACAAATTACAATTTTATGCTAGAAATACTAATTTAGCAGCACAAGACTTTATACTCACATCCTGAAATGGGTAAGGGAGGTGTCCAGTCCAAACAGAAAAGGCCATAGTTCATCTTTAGGGGAATATACAAAGATGGCAATGTTGAAAACATGAGAAAACCTTTATTCCAAAATAGTGTCTGGATTTTTTTTTTTTTTTTTTTAAGCAAGATGCAAGGAAATGAGCTATAAGGAGGGTTCTTTTTAATTACTTCGAGTGAGCATGTTTAAGAAATTACAATTTTAGATTTAGATTTATACTGAATGTCTATGCTTAAGCTGATATGTAAAATTAACGCAAAGATGTTTTTAAGGGAGGTAATTAAAAAAATATATACCTACCACAGATATCTCACCTAGAATATGTTTGTAAGAACAAGTCTGATACGATGAAGGAGCTTCAGCAGAGCCAGGAAGATGCTTTTAACAAAATGGCTGAACAGATGAAAGCACAGGAAAGCTGTTGGGAGAAACAGAAGAAGGATCTGGAGCAGCAGTACTCTGGTCTCCTAGGGGAAGTTCATGCAAGGGCACAGGTATGGTACTTATACTGGAGCTGTGAAGTCTGAATTGTTTTCTTATTGTAAATTTTTAATGGATTATTTGCATAGTTTGAGTTCCTAACCAATTTAGAGTTGCTTGAGAATTATGCTATTTAGTACATATTTAGAGTGAATAAGGAGAAAATTCTGCTAATATTAACCTCTCATTATAGAAAATGTATGGCTCCTTATTAAAACATTTCAGAAATATGTTGTTTAATTTGGTTGTGAAATTGCTAGTGACATTTTTGTTTTGATGATGTTAAAGCTGTAAGATGAACATTTTTTCTTGTATGAATTAGGTAGGGCAGCAGTTATTTTTTCAGTGTTAGGCTTTGCAACAAGTCTGTAGAGTACGAGTATTTTGGATTCATTTGGGGACTCATTTGGGGATACGTTTAGATATAAACATTCTAGCCATGGGATGCACATGGGAACGATACAGATAGGGCAGCAGTTCTAAAGTGTGCAGCTGTCATCACTGATTGCTAGAAAAATTATTTATGCTCTGTTTTTTTTCCCTGCCATTCTACAACCAGAATTCAGTGTCTTCATACCCACATCCTTTTAGAGAGTTTGTGGTCAAATGTGTTATGGAATATAGAAAGCAAGCTATGCTTTGTTGTGATTGCTATCTGGAACTTTCCACAGCAGAAGAATGATGTTTTTATTTTCTGATTTACCTTTGGGTAATGGCAATGCTAGAACAGGCCACATGAGTGAAGTAAGTAGCATCCAGACTCATAAAGTTGCTGTAATATCCAGAAGTTTCACTTCATGAGATCATCTTCAGCAAAAAGAATGATACAAAAAGAATGAAGCTTTATTTTAATTTTTAAAATTAGACTTCCTTTTTGTTAAAAAAAAAAAAAAAAGAGGTTGGGCAGTGCAGACCCCTCCCTGCCATAAATACCACGTGAAATAATGGCCCGTGTAAGCTCCATCAGAGCTGTAGCGCGTGGGGAGAGCTTGGGCTGGGGGACGGAGCTGAAGCTGCCCTTCGTCTCACACGAGTTTTGTGGGCCGCGCGCACGGCCGCGCGTGGGACAGGGCTTCTGGAAAAGGACCTTGTCCGTCAGCTCGCTAGAAGGAAACTGGCGCGTTTCTGGGCAGGAAATGGTTTCCTTTGCCAGCGCTCAGACATGGCTCCTCATGCAAGCTCAGCGTCCTGCTGCAGAACAAGCTGAGTGTTCTAATGTAACAACACCATGACCGCACGCATCTGCATGATGCAGCAGAGTTTTGTCTCCTCATTGCGCCTGCTCATGTTCCAGCTTGAATGCATTACAGTTTAGTGTTGTTTAAGTGTGGGGACGGTCTAATTTCCTGTAGATTTCTGTCTCTTGACGGGCCTTGGGCCTGCTAGTTCCAGATGAAGATTTTCCCTTACTGGAGTCTATGGACTCCCTGATGCCGAGTGCTAGGCCAGTCATTGTCCTGAGCACATTGTCCTGTGCTCTTCATAAAACTTAACTGTCTTTTGTGCCCTTCTTTTTTTGCCTGCTAGTCATAGTGGTCAGTGTAAGTGGAATATAACTGCCCCAGTTTTGCATGGTGACTCAAGCTTGCTGAGGATGGTGAGGATAACCATCCTCCTTTGGGATAACTTTGCATGTTGTAATATGTTATGTTTTGCTTTGTCTATTTTCAGCTTTCCTCACTTTTTCTCCCCTTTCTCAAATTGTGGGTAGTTTTGTGTTAATGTCTTAAGTTTGAAAGAAGACTTAGTTTTTGGAGTTTTGGGAAGTCCTTAATTAGGCCAAACTCGAGAGCACCTGTTACCTTTACAGTCAGAATTTGGGGTTGTCTAAAGAAAACTGTGAAGTGTAAATTTCTCCGTTTCCTAAAAGTTGAAATGGTTGAACGCCATTTCTTGCAGTCAAGTCTTAATCCATGCTTATTTGCCTCTGAGTGAGGGCAGGAAACGATGAGGCAGTGGGGTATTTATGCTCCAGGATATGCTGAACAATTGGTGTGAGGGCAGGAGGGGCTTGTGGAAGATTCACAGCAGGAGACGAAATGTGACCCTGTTTTTGAAAACACGTTAGAATATTTAGTAATCCTGGCTTTGGAAATATGCATAGTTTGATAAATAGTATTACTCAGTAGGTACACTGGAATTTTAAAGAGAAGTGTTGATCATAAGAGTAATGGATAGTTTTCACATAAAATCTGGTAAGTGTGTAAGCTAACCTTCTGGCCACAACTCCTTTTCAGCCTATGTGCCTGGGTTTCTTTCTTGTAAAAACCAAGGCACCAAAGTGTACTTCTTACCTTGGTCTTATTCAGGTAGTAGATTGAAGACAAGTGCAGGTTGCAGCTAGATCTAGAGCTGTGGATCTTGCCACTTCAGCATGTTTATTCCAGCACAGTAAGGAAACTGTGGCAATTAATTGCTGTATTTCCATCCAGAGACTTGAATGCTCCTTACAAGCAGTTTAGTGAATTAAGCCTTGTAAGTACTAGCCCCATTGCATAGAGGGAAGTGAAGAGATTCTTGCAGGGTCTTGCACCGAGGTGGTGGTACATTGTGGAACAAGCCCTACATCCCTTTGTTTGTGCTTCTGTCTTCAACCACTCTGCCTTTCTTTCCTCTAGATGTTTTCTCCTCAAAATTGCTGCATAAAGACTTTTTTTTTTCTTCAGTTATTGATTCATGGGGAGAGGCACACTCAAGATTGAGTTCAGACGATGACTTTAAAGGAGAGCTCTAACTGCGCAGCAGTGAGTGATGTGTCCTGGAGTCTCTTACAGTTGTGAACTGAAAGAGGCCTTTTCAAAAGGTCGTCTGAGGCTCTTGATTATAATACAACATTGCAATTCGGAAGTTTTAGTAATCCTGACACCTGCAAGTGCCTGCGTCCCCAACCAATGCTGTTCAGGGTGCCTGACCTCAAAGGGAGTCTCTAGGTACTGCAAAGTACTGCTTCAAGCTGTTGCTGTTAGTCAGCTGGATGACGTTATCAGAAAGCAGGTTCACTTTTTTTTTCCTGTAGGACAGAAAAGAAGGCCAAAGCTGCCTTCTTGCAGATCAGCAATCAACAAGACTCAATAGGTGCTGTTGTTTTGGTGCATGGTGTCTATACTGCCCTCAGAGCTTAAAGCAAATATCCTTTTTCCTTACCCTTTTTAGGAGCAGAGTCCCCTTAATTTGGTGTCCATTTGCAGTGTTTTTGTGCCTGTTCCTTAGCCTCACACAAATTACTTATTCAAACTGTGTGCAGTCTCACAGGAATTGTCCTCTGAATTTTAACTATCAGATGTTTGATTGTTATTTAGACATTTATTAATCTGTCCTTGTTTTTTGTGCCATCCGCCTAAAATAGTAAGGCTTTTGTACTGATAGGCAAAAAGATGTTGTGAGGGAAGAATTCTATATCTACTTTAAAAAGTGCTAATTGTGACAGGAAAATAAAAGGTTTGCTAAATAGGAAAGGGAAAAAATCCTCTAGGGAGAAAAATGTCTCATACTGACTTTTATTTTTATTAAGAGTCTTTGCTTTTAAGGCAAGACAGGTAAATTATCTAAAGGCTGTGGTATTTTGCAATTGTCTCAATCAGTGTTGTAGTATAAAGCAAAATAGATGAAATACAAGAAAACCTTTTGAAGTCAAAATATCATTAAATTTCTAGTTTCCAATTCTGTCTATTTGTCATTATAAAGGGTAAAGATCACATAGGAAATAGAATAGTTTCTGCCTCCTGAGGGTGCATCCATTTTTGGAGTACTTCTGGAGTCCACCAAGCTCAGTAACTCAGTGAGGTTATGTCACACCAAAAACTCTAAGCTCAAATACCCAAGGAAGTCAGCCTACCAGCCTAGGAAGAAAAATATATTCCTTTCAAGAATTGTACTTTGAAGCTTTGAAGAAGACATGAGAAGCAATATACAATAAGAGAAGGACAGTTATCAGTCATTGGAAATGAGATGTGTTTATTTGTTTTCTTTTTTTTAATTCATATAGGTGGAAGACTATATAATTTTATGGTAAGATTGTCTTGATCACTTTTGCATATTACAGTGTAATAGTAAACTTTAAAATGTTATTAAAAAAAAAAAAAGCTTTAAACAGCCAGAGCAGTTTGTTACTATTGGTACTCAACAGTCCTATAGGGATCATATTTAATTTTTTTTTTTTACCTAATTATTTGCTTTTAAAGAGTGATAGCCAGAAGCCAGAAGATCTTTTCTAAATTCAAGTTATCTTTCTAGTTCGTTCCAGCATTTTTTTCTTTTCTTTTTTTTTTTTTCAAAAATCAAACAGTGTAAATAATGCAGTAGCCCCAAAAGTATTATACATTTTCATATTTAATTTTGGAGTAGGAGAGTGACATACAAGACCTGTAAATTACATTTTGAAATTAAATCTTTCAGTTGCTCAATCCAACTATACATAGCTTGAGGTATTTGAATGCTAAAGTTTTACAGATATTCAGCTTTTATATATTCCACTCTCTCGACATAAATACAGTAAAATCATCTGTAAAACTAATCTGCTGATATATTTATATATACATACGTGTGTGTGTGCATACTTGTCATAAAAAGGAAGGCTTACAAGTTTGTCATCTTCCAGTTCAAATTCCGACTCTTTCAAAAAAGAATTGACATTCTGAAACAGTGACGGCTTGGGATCTTGTGTTTCCATTTCAGAGGTAGCCTGTGTATTTCTCCCCCGTTGTTGGGTGGAGGAGGAAGAAGAACCTAAGGCCTCCCCTGCTCCAGTTGGTTTTGATAGTGGTTCTTGGCCCTGCAGCAAAGCAGATAGACGCGTGCTATTTTACTTGTCCTTTGCTTCTGCCTAAAGAAATAACTTCCACTCTGTTTTTAACAAAACTGTGCAGGGCTCCAGGAGAGAGAACCGAAGTTTAAGGCAATTCTGTCTTTTTCTTCATTGTACTGACTTTTCATTCCACTCATATTTACCTAGCTATGTCCACATATTATAAAAGGACCTTAAGGAATTAAGTTGAACCTGTGTGTTCTTTGAGAAAAGCCGGTACAAACTGTCACTTACTTCCTGTTTAAATCTATCCTTGAGTGTTTTTTCCTGTCACAGAGGGACTGTCAGGAAACTGGTCTAGGTTTTTTGAGCTCCCAGACTAATGTCTAGATTCCTGGGCAAGAACTGAATAGCATCAAATGGAACCAAGGAGGAAAACTTAACTCTGGAATTACCTAGCTTTTTAACGTCTTCATTATGACCTCGTAGTTTACTATTTCAAATCTCCCTGTTTGTCTACTTTTGGCATACAGAGAAAAGTTCAGTAAGTTGAAAAATCTGTCACGGCGCAAGTCAAAATAGAACAAAATATGAGTCCTACACTGTTCTCTAGAAAACACAATTCTGTATGAGACCTAATTAATCTGTGAATATATAAGTAGGGGGTTGATTACAAAGTAATTAAGAGATCACCTTTACTTCCCCTTTCCCAGCTGCTACCAATCTGTCTAGTTCTATCTTCCAGAGTTTTCTCTACTCTTTTTTTCCCCTCTCTGTCTTACACTAACTTCCCTCTCTGCTTTGAGGAGCAATGTTCTTCCTGAAAATGGGAAATATAATTGCTTATTGTTAAGCAGACTCATTCTGCTAGTGGCCTCCTGTATTCTATCCAGTACTGGTAAATTAGCTTGAGAAATCTGGTATCTGTTTGTAGTTGACACAAGCTTTTCTTATGCCATTTTTGTCTGTTTCTGTAATTGCTGGATGTGAGAGCGCCTTGGCAATCATGACTAATAATATATGGTCCTTTCACTTCATTGTAAAATTCTGTGAGATGATATTCACCTGAATAGAGAGAATGAATTTTCTGTTAGCTTTTATCTATTTAAACGCGATTTTGTTTGCCTTTAAAGTAATATATTTTAGCTAATATTTCTTCTATTTCTGTTTGTTTTTCCGCCTTGCAGAAATACCAAGAAATAGCAGAAAAGAACAAGGAAAGATTTTCTGTCCTTGAAAAAAAACGGGAGAAACTGGCCCTTGAAAATGTACATGTGAAAAATACATTAACGCAGATTCAGAAGGAGCATTCATCTCTCTTGGCAGCTTGTGCACTAATGGCAGGTGCCCTGTACCCTCTCTATGGCCGAGCCTGTGCTTTGTCTACCCAAAGAGACCTTCTGCAGGACCAGGTCAACGTCTATGAATTAGTCAGTCAGGAAATTAGGACTCTGGCACATGCTCTCTCTGATGTGGAGGAAAAAAAGCAAGACGAAGCCAAGATAAAGAAAAGAAAACTCAAAAGCCTGATACGTGTATTCCGTAAAGGTGTTATTGCAGTTTTGGCAGCCAATAGACTGAAAGTCATAGGACAGTCTTGCAGTGCTCTCTTCTCCTGGGTGGATGGCTTAAAAGAAGGTGTTGGAATCCTGGTTTGTGTAGGAGACTCCAAAGGCAAGCATGATCTGTCAAGTAAGTTAATTGGTTGTTTGGTATGCGTTATGTCAAATTACGTGGTTGATGTATCATAAAAAATAATAATTATTAATAGAGAGTAGAGTTGAATGTAGTGACTGAACGTAGATCTGTCTAAATTAGAGTCAGAGATTATGTCAGAAGCTCCCCTGAAATGCAATACTTTTCTTTGAGCCCTAACATACACAAAGTTGCACCTGTACTTGCGGGCTGTTTCATATTCTAGACTTCCACGTTGCAGAATGAGATGCCACAAGACTTCTCTGTGGTTCTTTTTAGACAGTATGATACTTTGTAATCTGACACAAGTCTTCCTGTTGTTAACAAGAATTTTGTTTTCAGTGAGCTCTTTTAATGTTTATTTCCTATTAAATATGCAAAAAACCAATATTTTTACTCAGATAAAAATCATCATAGAATTTCTAGTAAATTGTGTAGTCCTTCCTCTATTCCTATTACTGTAAAACTAGTCTGACTTATGCTTCTACTTAAAAAAGCAAATGTTAAAGAACTTTTTCAAATTAGCAGGTGTGTTTAGTTTTATGTTTTAATAGCTAAATTTGTTCAGGTATAGCAAATGCACTCTTAATTTTCCTGAAGAAAGAATAATTTAGTAGTTTATGTACATGGTTTTGATGAATTTCTGAAAGAGCTAAAGATACTCATATGCCTTATCTGTATTACTCAGTTTTATTGCTGCCTGTGATCCTGTTTTACAGGAAATAAGAAGGAACAAATTCACTGTGTTGAAGCTCTCAACTGGTTTTCTAGTTCTGACCTTCTTGCTGCAATAATTAGTTCTGTGGCTGAATTACAGGATGTTGTTGGCAAAACAGGTAATTTTAAGAATATATTCTTTTAGGAGACATAAAAAAAAACCAGGGTGTTTGTATGACTTCCTTTGTCAGGATTTTATAAAAATCATTCTGTATCGAACTTCTGAAGTTTTATTTTAGTTTATGCTACCCATGCTTAATAATTTCTGTACATAGGAAAACATTAGGCTAAAGGATGCTTCTAGAGATCATCTGGATATCTTTGTTCTATAAAAGGAGAAATAGGTCTACACCTTGCTTATAGATATTTGTCTATCCTGTTCCTAAGGACTTGGGATGAAGTAGCATTCACGAGCTTTCTAGGTGGCTTGTTTAACAAGCATGTAACTGAATTCCAAGCTAGCCTTTCATGACAGAGAAAGCATTTGCTATTTCTCTATTGTGCCCCGCAAAACTAGCCATATTCGCCCTGGGGCTTTACTAGTGTCGATAAAAAGAAATAACTTCCTACTGTGTTTTATACAGTATGATCCTGTTAATCCATGCTTAATTTGGGAGTGGACGCTGATTTTCTGTCTGTCTGTTCTGAAATGTTTCATATTCTGAAAACATGAAATTCTTCATCTGTTTTGTATTTTTTCATCCTCGTGTTAATAATTTTAACTTCGTCAGAGCTAGCAAGCCAGTCCTGCAGCCAGGATCTTTTGTGAGAAGGTATAGTGTCAGTTCACTCTTTTTGTAGCTGAATTTGAGTATTGCCACTGTGCATTCCAGTGGTTTTTAGCAGCTTTCAGACAATGTTTGACTCATGCTGGGGTTTCAGGTCACCTTGGAGAATCTGCAGGATCAGAGTCCTGCAAAGGAGATCTGGGCAGCTGAAATGTGCCGAGCTCTGCCTTGCCACCGTTGTTCACATGTGTTTGCTTTGGTTAAAGTCATGTTCAAGTCAGTAGGAGAAGAGAAATGAGGAATAACTGCCTTGGAAGTAAGACTGTATCCACCAGTTCTTTTACCTTGTGGTTTGTTTGTGATGAGAATATCTGAGCTGCTGCAGATCAGAGGTCTGTCTTCAATAGTGCCTCTATCATTAGTTTATTTCTACGGACATCTATTTTTTGTGAATGATGTAAAACCCATCTTTTGTTTTACCATGGTTATTCCTACTAATCGGATTAATGGCTAATTGTTTCTGATGCCACTTAATTGCTGGTTTCTGATGGACCGTTGTGTATGATAATATTTTTTCATCTGCTATTTCATTTTTATTTGCTATCTTGTTTTTGAGAGAGAAATAAACACCACTCAACTAACACGTGCTATAGCATTCTTTATTTTATGTCTCTACTGTGTTTCTAACTCTTATTATCCCTAATTTTCTGATTCTGTCTTCACATGGCAGTTTTATTATGACTATGGAAAATTTTTAAAAGTGTCCCTAGCAGCGTCAACTTTTGATTCCGGTGTATTTAGAAGAAAGACTTCATATTTTTGTAGTGAAGATTGTTGCAGGATCTCACTTAGTTTTTTTGTGTTGCTATCATCTTAATTGTTCTTTATTTTCTATTTCAGAATAAAAAATATTGAGAGAAGGGAAGCATGATTTACATGAGTAAAGGGAAATTACTGGACAGAGCTAAGGCGACACAGGTCAAGCCAGATCAGGTTCTGGTTCTAGAAGTTAGCCCTTGAATTGCAGTCATAGTTTCAGAAACTCTTTTCTTAAGTCATCTTGCTGAATAACTTAAATTTGCATCCTTACAAAACAGTGTTTGAGCTGTATTTCAAAAAAATTTGAGCTACATTTTCAAGTATTTACAGGGAAGATGCTGCAAATGTTCCTGCATATAGACTGCTGAACAAGAAATGCAGATTAAAAGAGAATAAAAAATAAACTTTACAAAATTATCATGGTGCTGAAATCACTGGTTTTAGTACTTCAAACCTCATGCCATTTTTCCCATATTGAAGTATATGAGACTTCTTCTGGTGGACCAAATTTACTTCATATCTCAGTACTTTACACAGTTTTGATGCCCAGAATTAGCAAGAGCTCTCTATCTCAGTCATTTTCACAGATGCATAAGATCTAACTGCCTATATATTACATGGGATTATGTTGATCAGGCAGTTGACCTTAAGAATCTTTGGTTTGGCAAATTTTAATAAATAATTTCAGATTGAACGTGACATTTCTAGAAGTACCAAAGTTACTTTGAAAGAATATATTTGAAAAAAATTGTTGTACAGTTAAGCCATATTAAAGATATCTACTCTTTTGTGTTATTTAAGTCATATTTCAAGTAGGGGTTCAACTCACAAATTCACTGAAATGACTTTATTTTTTTTTTGAATGTAGATAAGCTATCTGAGAGGCACCTATTCTCTTCAGGTCTTGAAGAGATTCTCTTCAGATCTTGATCTTCAGGTTAAACTGCAGATCACAGGAGAGAGCAGGCAGAAGGCCATGTGGAACTAGGGTAGGAAATGGCTTAGGGTTTTAAGAAGGGGCTTTAGAGATGACCATGTCCTGAGGAGTCATTAGAGACACTTTAAAGGAACCAAATCCACATCACTGAGATAAAACTGGGACTTGTGTGTGGTGTTTTAAGGGAAGAAGGAAGATATTTGCACATTCCTTAGCACGTTTAAAAACAAATCTTTTTCATGAATCTTTTGACATTCATGATTGTTTCCCTTTGCTCTGCTCAAGAGTAGTTTGATTGGCATTCTGGCATGGTGTCTTGGAATGATCTCTTAGCTTCAGCCAGAACAGTTTTGTAAAGTGTGTTTTTTGGTAAGCTTAATATTTTTTAACATACTTTTTTAACAATTGTGTGTTGCAGTAAGACAGAGAAAATAAAGATTGAGTTTGTTTGACTACAAATATCTGCTCATTCTTTGAAGCTTAGCATGAACATGTTAGTCTTGTGTAATATACTGAGTTAATTCTTGTTAACTTTTATTTCCCCAAAATAAAGCAAATTAGAATTCCTTCTTCATCTGTCACAGAAGTAAGATTTGTCTCTTGTCATTGCCTTTTTCTTCATTTGTTTAATTTAAAATTAATTGCTTCCTGTGATGTGACTGTATTTAAGTAATTTCTAACATCATTTAGTGCTTTTAGTGTAATACCCTGATTGTTTGTGGGTAGATACTTAAAATGCATATGCTTAAAGGGTACATTCTTTTTTTTCTGCTTGTACAGTGCCTTGTGGAATTGCATTTTATTCTCATTTCACCCTTCGGAGAAATCAATGACTCCGATCAACGAGATTTCTGTTATACTCAAAACCACTGTTCATTAAAATTTAAATAGAGGTGGTTCTTTGCTTCTTTTTATTTCCCATCCCGAGAAAGTTTTTTAAATGGTGGGGAAACATTAAAAATGCAACTAGACTGATTAACTGGAATCATGATTGTGAAGGGAAATGATCATTTCAGAATGCCACAGCACAATTCTCCAAACTGTCATCTTTATTGTTTTGTTTTTATCATAGGTAAAGTGGGAGTTCTAAACCTAGAGAAGGATTTGCCATGGTAGGTGCTGCACGCACGTAAAACAGAGAGGTGATGTTTTATGGCATACAGACTGTCTGTTTAGATGGAAATGGAAGGAAAAACGTAGTTCATTGGCAAGCTCTTCACTGTGATGTTTACCAAAAATCGTAGCATAGTCTAAAGAAGATTTTGGTGGAATCCTTCGTGAAAGACAATACAAATGTTTTAGTTTGAAATTTATGTTAATTTAACTTAACATTTGATCTAATATTGGCAACATGACTGAAGAAAAGAGATGGCATTTGAAACAAGGATAGGTTAAAAAAAAGGGTAAGCTGTGCAATGAATTAAAATGATGAAAAGTTGTTTGTTGTGATGGTGGCTAGTAGAGGAAAACCAACATAAGGAAAGTGGGATGAGCGTTGTCCCAGTGGAGAAGGCCATAGAGTAGCACTTTTTTTTAGGTATGAGGAAAATCATCTTGTTTTGTGTGTCGCAGAATGTTTGCACAAGATTAAATGCTGGGTAAGGTTTTTAGCTTTAGAGGTGAATAGAAAGACACAGACAAGAAAGAATTTTAGACATGGAGAATGGGGAGATTTGCTAATGCAGTGGGTTGTAGAGATCATGATCTCAAAAATGGCATTCCACCTGAACACGGGAATGATAGGCTTGAAACCAGGTTGAAGGATGGCTCTGAAAAAAAGAAATATTGGCTTCATCATGTGCTAAATTTATTTTGCTTGCTTAGGGATAAATTTGGTCTCATAAATGAGACATTCTTTATAATCCGAATCAAAGATAATCTAAATATAGCAACCATCTTGTTTCATTTGAATCCTTGGATTTATCTTTTTCATATATAAAAAGATTTTTTTTTCGCTTATAAAAAGCCACCTTTTTTATTCTGTTTATACTTTTAAGTAAATATTTTAATTCCCTACAGCAACAGGAGATCTGCTGTACACTGAATGCAAATAGGCTCTTCCATGCTTGTCATCTTACACTGATAGTATCATAAGACAAGTAATGACAGATTAAGACCTGCCTAGCAGAGGGAAAACTAAATTACAAGACTTTTATTAAGGCATAAATAAACCTATTAACTGTTATCTGGAATACCAATTAGTGGAAGGAGCACTGACAATTTTATTTATCAACATTAAACACAATTATTAATTACAGACCTGACGAATCTAGCAGTAAGCAGGACATGTTGGGTGTGCTGGGGCCTTAAGTCCATTATATGAGAAGGATGATTACCAAAATCCTGTGGGGAAATAAGTAATTGTAGCTGTAAAATTTTAATTGCCTTGGAATAAGGTAAATTATATTCTCTTGTCTCAGAATATAAATAGTATGGCATTAAGGTACCAACCCTCGCTGGTTTTGAACAGCAAATGATTTAGTCATCTGCTGGGGAGTGAGAAGGGGGTAGAAAATATCCAGAAATTTGCATTGTAAATATTACAATAAAGTGATTTACCTTTTGTGATTCCATGTGACACCTGTCACCTGGTTTCCGTTTAGCCTGTATCAGTTGTACATGTTTTGGGAATTACAAAGCTAGAACACCTAAGAAAGACTTAAGAAGGAGAACTTAATGTATCGTATTATAAGAAAATACAAGAACAACTGGAAAGTTACTCTTTGTCAAACAAATCCTCTTCTTTAGAATCCTTCTTACCCTTCATATCCGAAACTTCTAGACACAGTTTATTCATTCCTGAAGACAGAATTTGTCACAAATTCTCAGAGGAAGACCCATTCTTCCCTCATTCTTCCATGCCTAGTTTAATGGAAATTTCCTACACAGGACATTTGGAGAGGCATTATTTGTTGCTTCCTCCTCTTCCTGTCTTTCCTCCTGTTGAATGACAACAATTATCTTTTCAATGTTTCTTTCTTCTGTTGGTATTTTTTAAAGATCCAAATTCCTGGCTTTCTGGACACTTGATTGTAAGTGCAGCCAGGAACTCTTTTACGAAATTTATGGAGAAGCTTAATATGATGCTGGAGACTGTTCCACTGGACAGCAGCAGGAGCATTACTTATGTGGAGAAGGACTCCTTGGTACAGAGGCTGGCTCGTGGACTGCATAAGCTCAATGTGCAGGCTCTAAAAGCTGGATTATGTGACAGACAGCCCATCATGGTATGCATATTTATAGAGCTACTTCTTGGGAACAGTAGGTTGATAACCTAAGTAGTATGGTATAGTTCTCTTGACAGTACTGTTAATTTTATTTCAGAATCTGTCTAAATCAATTACACTGACGTCCTATATGGAAAATCAGAACTTGATTTACCATAGAGCAGAAGCCATAGACCCTGAACACATCTTACCTTTTATTATAATACTAAGAATTTTAAGAAAAGAGTATATTCTTAGAATTATATTTTAAGTTGCATCAAAATTGTATGTGCCTTATAAGAACAAATGTGTTATTATCTTTAATTAAAAGGTTAAGATTCTTTGTCTATCTTCTGCTTTCTGGTCTGTGTTGCAGTAAAGATTCTGTGCCCTCCTCTGGTAACAGAAATGAAAAGATTGCTTATTTTTTTTCCTCTCAGAGTATCTCTTTTTAATCATGGAACTTCCTTGAAAACAGATAACTTCCTTGAGAAAAAAATTTTCAGTAGCCCTCAAAGCTAGATGAAGCTGTTTCACGTTTGTGAGTTTGTGTGTGCACTTGAGATAACTGAGGGCAAATGACAGCTCTGTCTCATTTCCGCAGGTATTAAATGTGATTGATGTTATTGCCAAAATAGCACTTTTTATAGCATATAAAATTGTTTCCGTTTACTAACAGAAAAGCATAGCATCCTTACAGAAGCAAATATTTGAATTCACACAAAGGCTTCATACAGCAGAGGTGGAACGCCGTTCACTGCGCTTAGAACTTGCAGAATTCAAACGGAATTTGAATGAGATGAAAAAAGAAGCTGACAAAGCCCAGAGCCTGCAAGAGCAATTAAATATGTTTAAGCAATCTGTAAGTATATTTGATTTAGAAAAGGCTACTTAGGGAGAGACCTTTTTGCACATATTTTGATTTGTGTTCTTTGGAAAAACAAGAATAAAACCAATCTACTATTAGAAGAGTTTTCCAGAAAACTTGCCTTGTAAATGTCACTGAACTATGAGCCGGGTGTATTTAAAATAGTCATCTTTCCTCAGGTATTTCTCTTTGATTTGTACAGCAAGGTATTTTATGTAAATTACGTGTTTGGTCTTCAGTAATCTAGTTTTGCTTCCATATGTTGAAAATGTGGACATGATTTATGTACCAATTGTGGTTTTATATGTGTTATTTCAAAAGAGTTAGGCTGGCTTAAATGTGTAGATTTAATGAATACATTCATGACAAGCTCATAAAGCATAAATGCAGTGTTTGCGTACTGCACTAATATTCCTGAATATTGAGATAAGTCTTTTACTGTAGCTTTCAGTTTACTTGTAGGGAGAGAATTTATGCCAAAAAAAAAAATCCCTTTACATTGTTATTAGCCTATGTGCACCAAGTCCCTCTTCCCTTTGCTAGAGCTAAAGGGTTTACTTCAGCACGATGGGTGCAGTAACCTGTAAATAGCACCATCTGGCAGGTGCAAAAAGAGACTAGAAGGAGGCTGCTACCCAGGCCAATCCTCAGTGCGGCAGTGCACATCCATACGTGGTGCTGAGGGATTCATCCCCACGGCTCTGTGGCAGGAGTTCTGTGCACACCGTCGGTTTGTTCCCCTTCTGGTGCCTTGGGTCTCCATGGCAGGGGAGCTTCCTGCCCTTTTTTTCAGGATGCTGGAGACCCACTGGGCATCTTCTCCTCCTGTACTTATATTCTGTAGGTTGCATTCATAATTGGTCATGTCTGAGGAATGAGAGAAAATGAATGGATAAATACTCCTATTTGTGCTTTGCAAGTGCCCCAGTATATCTGAAAGAGCCACCGTCCAGAATGAGCAGTGTTTTCTATAGCTGTGCCCTAAGCTGATCCTGAGAGCTATTGGATAGATCTATCACTGTGACCCCATCAAAACGCTTCCAATGCCAGGTTAATTTCATATCTCTTATACATGTTTTAATACCATGTATAATTTGCTCAAAAATGTGGTGCTCTTAACAAGTGAGGAAGGAGGATGAAGAATAGAGTGGCTTGACAAATGTAGTGTATCTCAATAATAAGGTCACTTTGATATACAGATATTGGCAAAGCAAGGCTTTTAGGTAACGGTGTTCTTTTTCCAGCTGTTTTGGTCAGATAAGGCAAGTTTCCAGGCATGCAAGTTTTATAACATTTTAAATAGAAGCTTCAAAGTTAAATGTAACTTCAGTACACACAAATGAACTATGTACTAAGACTAATTGCTTCTTATCCACTATTTTTTGTGTGTCCATTCCTGGTATATGTAAGCTATTTTGCATCTTCTTTTATAAAGTGTCATTTCAAAGTTAATTGTTTATAACCTTTTGTACAGATGAAGTACCTTATAGTTTTGCTTTTTCATATCAAAAGCTTCATTCTTTTTTCCTGTTCCTAGCTAGTAGAATGGCTAATATGGACAAATGTGTCAAATTGACTACAGCTTTGTTTTTGTTAAGTTTGTTTCCCTTATATTTCCAGTAATGCTAATTTCTTCATTAGAAATGATTCTTTAAAACTTGCACCGTTAGGTTTGGCCAGAATAATTTTAATACATACTGCTTACAGTAGCCTCCATACATCCTTGAAATTGAGCTATGGTGAATAAAATTGTCTGTCATTCAGTGTTTAGTGGCTTGTTTTCATGTTAAAAAAAGAAAAAAAAGTGTTCTTGAGCATGCTTTCATACTAGAACGTTATATGCTATTAAGTGGAACTCTAAAGGTCAAATATATAGAAAGATAAATTCAGTTACACAATGAAACACGATCTGTTTCCTTTTTCAGAAATTGATCACCAATGAGAGATTTGAAAGTGTGTGTGAAGAATTAAATCATGCGTTACGTCGGGAACATCAGGCACAAATGCTTTTAAATGAACAGGCCCAACAGCTTCAGGAATTAAATAATAAACTAGAACTGCACTCCAGTGAAGAAGCAGACAAAAACCAAATCTTAAGTGAAACAGTAAAGGTAAGATGACTAGCCTTCTACAAGAGATACCAGGAATTTACCTTTTGGTGAATGAGCCAATAGATCCGTTGGGATTTTAAGGTACTAAGAACTCTTTGAAGAGGGAACTTTAAGATATAATTTACTTTTTTGATATTTGGAATAGTCTTTGTATACTGGTATCTGTGAAATATTCAGAGTTTACATTATCCATTAGAGACACAGATTTTGCTATCATGAGGTGTTTGCAGACTAAAGGAAAAAATGAAAGAAGAGAGACAAAAATATAATATTTTGATAGAGATCATTAGAAATTTTGCAAATCTGAATGATTTAGCATTGCAGATCTAGCAAATCTGAATGATTTCCTGAATATAATACAAGTTTAGAGAATACATTTGCCACAGTTTAGAATGTGCTAGATGAATAGAGAAAGATGTTCTTCTTAAAATGAATTTAGGCTGTCTACCAGAAATGATGAATAATGAGGAAAAATAATTTATCTAAATCTCTGATAGCCCTGATATCGAGAAAGATGAATTGTGCAAGTATTTTAAGACTGAAGTGGTGTTCAGTTGAGAAAAATGAAAGAATATCATGGATTTATGAATATAAAGACTTTTTTTTTAGTAATATTCATATTTACTTTGTTAAAAGTGGAAGATATGAAGATAAACTTTCAATTTCTCTGTTGCTTTTAGTAATATTTCTTCCTGTCCATCTCCCTGCTACGGACATTACCTTTTGATGAAAGAACAAACTAAATTTACCTAGTATTTAAGTAAGCATTTTGGTTGTTAATGCTATTGCATTTTTGTTTCAGGTTTAACTGGAGTATATATAAGCCATTAGGCCTGTGCTTAGTTTCTTCAGGAAATACTTGGCTCAAAATTTGTATTATAAAGAAACGATGGAGTAGGAGACAAATGTTATCATTTAAAATCTTCATTACAGTTTCTTTCATTACGTCACTGCATTTCACCATGATACTTTATCTACAAAAGTTTCTTTGCAGTTGTTCAATGGAAATCAACTAAGAAATAAATTGTTAACATTAAGTATATGGGATGGAGGTTTAAAGAAATATGTTACATGGGTTAAAGGTTACTGAATTAATTTCATAGATAGTGAGTTTTAACACTTAACGTCTTGATACAAATTTTTGATAGTTCAAAAACATTCCTTTTGCAGCCCCTCTAGATGTTATTGCTTGTTGGACCACTGTGGTTTAGTGTAGAGCACTCGCTTGAGTCTAACTACCAAACACTGTAAAGATGTGATGAGGTGCGGTCATCTAGCTGCTGTGGTAGGTTGACATCTAAATAAGTGGACAAAATTAGCTTTAAAGGTGAAACTTGCTTTTGCCACTTATAGATGTGCTCACTTGATTTTTCTAAATGCATCACACTGCAGTTACTTGTTTTCTGTGGAAGGATTTTGAACCAAATGGAAACTGTAGGACTGTTGTCAAATAATTGCCCTGTGGCACCCACAGCACTTCAAGCTAGTAGTAGCTTCTATTTAAGGATAAGAAGGCTGACTAGTGTCTCTTTGCAATGCTTGCTACTAGGATTAGCATAAAATCACACATGTGTTTATTAAGATCTATATCAGGGAAGGAACAAAGATCAGTTGTGGTAGCACAGCATCATATGTTCTTGGTTGCTGCTTGATCTTTGTATCAAGGATGTGTATATTATAATTCATAATTCCTAAATCATCGTCTTCCCTCAGATTTACTGCTTTTTACAGTTCGTCTATGTAAAACAATACAAAAAAAGAGTTTGAAATATGTGCCAAATACAAACTTCCTAAATCCAAACTATATTCTGGCATGAGCTCCTTGGATACCAAAGGTAGAAAAAAGTTATTTATTTTGAGCTCTACCACATCAGCACATCATGTTTTTTTTTAAATTTAATAAAAGGTCTTTGTTATAAGCCTTTTTTTTTTTTTTTTTTACTTTATGAGATTCCATTTTATTTGTGGCTTATGTTAAGAACAGAAGTAGTCTGTGCTTTGCCCTGATGTTTTAATTGCTGAGTGCTTTCTCTTGGGAAATGCCTTTTTTTGTCTGATTTTAAAAAGTTTTTTGTAACTATTATTTTGCAATAGACCAAAAAGACCCTCACCTTCCTGTAGACCTTTTTAATATATAATATTCCTACAGTTTGGTAAGTCAGTGTAGTCTTAAATCAGTGGAGAGAAAAGGGCTGTTACACAGAAGAAATGTAGAAATGTATTCATCTTAAAATTCATCTTAAATTACAAAATAGCACCAGTCTAGACTAAACTTATTTACAATGCTGGAGAATATGGTGGTGTAACAGTTATATTTGAGAAAATTGATCAAGGAGCAAAAGCAAGGAAGAAGGGGAAAACAGAAGAAAATATTATGCCTTTTTAGTTTTGGAAGCTTATTTTGAAACTTATCCATACTTTCATAGTAATCTGCAAGAAGATATCTTGGTGTTCACATACTTTCATGAAGTAGGTTTATTAAAGGAGTAATGCTTAATTTCTAAGCTTTATCGTTTCAGATTTTAATCCCATTTAGTTTTATCTTCTTAATGGCATATACTACAGAGACATTCAAGGTAGCCAATTACATTTCAAGGTCAAATAGAACTGAGCAACCCTTCTACACCACTTTTTTTTTCTGTTAGATGAGTTAGGTAGCTAACTCTGATTCCTCTGTCTTTGTAGTGAGATGTTTACACAGGAATGCATAGGAGATACAGGTTTTACTATCAATTTAAGCATGCCTTAATTCCAATAAATTCCTTTTCTTCCTGCTGGCAGGCACTATGTATTTTTATATGTGTGTTTACTTTTACTGTATCTTTTTAAGGATGTTTGTTAGTACATATAATCAAAAAAGTATTTTCAAGCTTTAATTTATGAGAAAGTGTCATATAAATTATTGGTAAGTCTATATGTTTTTCAGGTTTCAAGTACAGTATATGTTAAATCATGTGACTTCCAACAGATATGGCTCAAAATAGTCTAAAGTATGTCTTTTAATGAAGATGCCCTGCCTAGATTCTGATCTCATTTACTCTTCATTAAGCTTTACAGTGTTGTGGTTAGTGAAGCTAGCCTTGATTTATGACAGCCTAAGTAAGAAGAGAACCTCATCCAACCACTTTGATAGCACCCACAAAAGTATTTTCTTCAGACGGAAAGGTTTGGAAGATTTGTATTTGCTATGATTTTGTTTAAATTATTATAAAGTTATATACTGACTAGATATATAGAGTGCTTAGGAAGTATGGAAAACTTGGCTCGACACATTCCATGAATTCAGATTTTGATGGAAGGTGGGACTGTTCTGTTAGTTTTGCTGAAAGTAGATATTTTTCCTGAGCAAGCCTTCTGGCATGTGGTGAAAGTAGTACAGAATTTTCTGGGTTTTGTTGCTTTTTCTTTTCAGGTATTTATAGCTACATATTTTGCCTGGAGAATCATTTGAATTGTTTATATAATTCCTTTTATTTGCACGCACTTTGCAAGTCGGTTTTATACTTAGTAGTTTATGCAGGTGATTTCAGTGCTATAACTTAAAAGGTTAAATGATTTCACTTACATGAGGAAGAGCAAGTGATTTTTATGCTCCCCAAAAACAACTGCAAGAAAAAATAGATTACAGTCGTTATAAAAACAAGATAATAGCTTTGTTTACTTTTTTTAATTTTCTGAGACTTTGAGTTGGAAAGACTGTCAAGATTTGGAAGCCCTTTGGGGTACTCTTGTTTCATTGAAACTCATTTGTCACTTTGTCAAGAGTGTACTCTTGACATTTTTGTGTACTGTCCTATCGACTTAAGGAAATTCTGTAAGGAAATTAATATGTGTGATTATTTACTAGCATGTAGCCTAATAGAATTTTTTCATTAGTCAAATTTAGCATGTGAAAGACATACTCCCTTCTGAATTAGAATCTAAAATGCATAATTCATTATGTAAATATTTTAGTTTTTTCAAAGTTTCCATATTCTCTGTGTTTTGAACCTAAATAATGTCTATAGCAGAAAGAATGAAATGTAATTTAATATATTGCCATATTCTCCGTCAAAAGAGATTATATGTTTTCTTATCACAGAGAGCTACAGGTTAGAGAGTTTTGTCCTGTATTTCTGTTAGTGTTACACTCTTTATCTGCAAAATATTGTGAGATGCTCGTTTCATTCTCTGTAAGGTACCTTCCAGTAATGATTGTTTTTTAGATAGTCTTCAAAGGGTTCACTCTACTGAGACTTCCTCTGAACCTGGTCCTTGGTGCTTTTTTTATTTTTTTCCCTTTTTTTGTTTTTTAAAGGTTGTACTATATTTTTCAGGGAGTTTAGGTATATGGAAGGAGATTGCATTCCTAGGGTACTTTTTTCCACCAGCTGCTTTCTTAATATAACAGGAGGGTCAAATAGGGAGATTTGTGTTATGGACAGGACTTGTGAAATACATAGAGCTTCCTTCTGCTTTTCTTGTCTGTGATGAAGACTGCTCTATTATTCTATCTCCACTTTGGCTGTCTGAGCTTAAACTTCACCTTTAATGTCTCTTCTCCATGGTCTGCCTATAAAAGTTTGTGCTTTTTAAAATCATGGACTTGTATATTACAATTATTTATTGTAAGAAGAATATTGTATTTATTGTTACAAGAAACATTTTATGGGGCTCTTGTATACTGAGAGCAGCTCTCTCAATATTGCACTGCCCTCCTTGCTTTGCTTCTCTGGTTAGCCTCCAACATTAAGGGATCGGGGGGTTGCTCTGTTTTATTTTGAACGCTTTAGGAATCACCTAGTTAAGCAAACTGATCCCCTGCATTCCCACGCAGAACTGGCTTGCCAGTGAGGTTGCTGGGTCTGTGCGTTTCCTTTGCTCTGTGCCTGGAGCATTCAGCAGCAGCAGTGAGAGTTGCCTGCAGGGACTGAGGTCAGTATATGGCCTTTAGAAAAATACTGAGTTTGCACCATAGTCATCAGTGAAGGGTCCTTCCTGCTACTAAGTAAGTTGTTAAA